GGGTTAACCATTAAATGATTATGAGTTTATGACATTCGTAACAACGTCGAAATGTAGAATTTCGTTTTTTAGTTGTATAATTGGATGAAAAACAAAAACAAAGGTTAATTTGGCGGCTAACTACCATATTTATTCTTCCAAGTAAGGTAACAAACATAAGTCAATTTGACAGTTCTTTTTTACCCTGCACACAATAAAATATAGTTACCTATCTGTGACGTTTTATATGCATATAAACTATATGTGACGTTTTATATGCATAATATGATCCTTCTATTGATTCATTCATCTTAGACGGAATCTTACTTTTTAGATCGTTTATATAGTCTTGTATTAAACTCCTATGCACCATGATATAATTTACAAGTTGACCTTTCAAAAACATTTAAGAAATTATAACTCAAAAGAAAAGACAAAGAAAGAATGGATAGGATGAAACTCCGAGTGATGGTATAAGTTTCCACATCTCAACTCATAACATTTAAGGCAAAATAAAAATTATATTTTTAGGAATTAGCAAAGAATCCATCCCATGTTGTCCTTTACTTCACGTGGCATGTGTGGACCCATCCCCTCTTCCTCTTATTGGTTTTTTAATCGATTCCATCATAATTATCGATCTATCAAACCATAATGGTGCATTGTGATGTGTTCATACTTCATAGAATATGTATTGTTCGAGAAGTAATACAGAACACCCAATAGCCGTTAGATGAGTTATTCTTTCCTTAAAGTCACTACTATAACGGAGAAGTTTGGAAATGCCGTTTAATCAGAGAGACAACAAATTTTATCATATTTATTTCAGCAATCGTCTCATGAATGGTATAGCAAACTTGTTTTTGTCATTCGGTAAAGAAACACTTTGTATGATATAAGATGATTTTTTTTTTCTCATAAACCAAGTGTGAAAGCTTTTATTTTTCGTAACCTCGCGTTTAAGCTATAATGTATTCAGAAAAGACAAGTTAAAGCGTTATTTTTAGTAACTTTTTGAATAATAATGGACTATAGATTTTCGTAATGCCTTTATTTAAAAACTGTTTGGGACGTGGCTGAGAAAATCTATTTTCGTCTGCGATATCTCTTTTTAGATCATGAACTCTATAATTTACTCAAACTCTTTAAGAAGTCTGCCGTTACGAATTACTTTAACTTTTGACAATATATGTACTTTAGCATATAACTTTGTGATCAAGGAAACACAAATTAATCATAAACAACATTAACACATATGACGTATATGAGATACGTGTAGTGTAACAAGTGGGAGTGTAGCAGGGATAATATAAGGTTTAATTGAACACGATCTTATGAACGATTAGTCTCAAACACGCACACACAAAACAAGTTATGAGTAAAAAATTGTGAGTTTACAGGTTTATCAACAAAAAGGGTGTAACAAGAAGATCGTTATGTCAGAAACTTTTTATACAATCTAGTTAGTTTTAATTTAAACTTTTTGGACCATATTTTATGATATAGTTTAGTATTAAACCAAAATTGTACATGAGCATACATAAATTATACCGAAACAAAAAAATTCAATTTCGAACTTAGCTGTTAAGGTGTATTTGACATATTTCTCTTAATATCTAGCTTGCATAAGTTCCAACACAAATCAATGGAAGTTATCTATGAGAATTAAATACTATAAAAAATGTTGGGAATATTTATTTGCTTATGAAACGAATATACAAAAATCTCGGTGTTCTTTTGTGTATAAGCATGTTTACACGAAGCGGGAGGCGTAAATCGCACGGTCCAGACGCGCGTGAAAACAACGGACGATTCAGAAAAAGGAAGCACATAAATACGGAAGCAGAGAATCATTGCCCATTTATATGTTGTGAGCGTTTCATGTTCCAAAAATCGCCGATTTCATCGATGGACCACCGATGGATTAATGAAAATCGGAGGTTTTTTGGTCAACCAAGAGTTGACTTTTTTTTTATTTTGAAAAATCATGTTGTTATTCTAATTGGTGTTAGATACAAGTTTCTATTGGTTGAATCTATAAATATTTGACATAAAATGCAAGAAAAATGATGAAAAAAGTGAAAGAAAGATGATGAAGGCCGTGAGATCTGGACATTTAAGGTTACAAAATCGCAGGATGTGATGAAGAAGATGATCAAAATTACTATTCTACCCTTCATTAAAAGGGAAATGAAAAAAAAACTCAATATGGGCAAACTGGGAGTCGAACTCGGGTGAGACTGTAGTTGCAGAAGTACGTTAACCACTTTAGCTAGCCTAATTTGTAATTAAATTCTACAAATGTAGTATTTATATATACAATGGTCAACTAGCTAGCTTTTAAGTCAAATATTTTGGAATATAAATATCGTATTGATATTGATATGTTACTTATATAGTGTTATATATATATAAATATATGAAAATATTTTAAAAATATATAAAATATAGTTAAAAATTCATCTCCGCTTAATTTCTGTTTAATCCCCATTTTTAAAAAAATCCTAAATTCTCACCCGCCCGATTAAGGATTACCAATATTTTGAATACAGAGTCGCAGAGAAAGGAAGCAGCATATGACTATTATGCGCTGTTTCTGCTGCTACTGTACGCCAAAACAAGGTGGTCCCTACTTTTGACTTGTTTTATAAAGTCAAAGAAAAAGCAGCTTTTGTAGGATAAGATGTAGAGAGAGAACAAAAATCTGTATCTTAATTCCACTACGAAATTACGAGAACTATGTGTATGTGTGAGATACCAAATAAATATATAAAAAAGGGAAATAAAGGAGAGAGTGACAAATGACAAGTGAAGCGAGTGCTTTGTTTGGTCCGAATATTATTCGTACCATTACCATCTTCATTTTTAGTACACAACTTTACAGTTTTCTTTACTAATTTTTTTTTTTTCAATTTTAGCACACAGATTTACAATTTTCTTTTTGCCTAATGAACTGAGACGTGTGAAGAAGTATTCGTGCGTTACTACTTTCGACCTTCTTTATAAGATTTTATGGAAATTTTTAATCATTTCTCTAAATCAGATAAGATTCTTCTGCGAGGTTAAAAATCGATATTGCTTATGTTTTAATAAATAAAATATTTCTTCTTGTGTATACCTCAATATTGGCATAGATATGGGAACATATTTTCTTTTATTCACATAAAAAACAAACTAAATTACAGAGTTACAAAAGTTATATAACATATGAACTACTTTCATTTTTCATAGCTCGGTTTTGTAGCTATTCCCTAGCAAAAATAAAGCTCTAATTTTTCTTCCTCATACTAGTTAAACTCATTCCACTTTCATTCCATATGCAAATAGTTGATTTTAGTTCTTCTCTAGTTTGTATAATTTTATTGATTGATAACTTATACTCCCTCTGTTTATTTTTAGTTGTCGTTCTGGAGTTTTCACGCAAATTAGGAAAACAACTAAAGTCATTGTTTTACCTCTAATTAATACTTTAATGTATTTGATATAAATAATTAATGAGGTAAATTAGTAGGAATAATGGTGAAAAAATGTAATAAATCCGTATTGAAAATATAAAATGACAATTAATTTTAAACAAAAATTTAACTCTAGAAGGACAACTAATTTGACAACTAATTTAAACCGAGAGAGTATATTGTGTCCAAACATCATTACTAGCTTAGAAGAAAAGAAATTCCCTAAGACCTCTTTATAAATCCGAATGATTTCCAAGACCATCAATGCTGTCTATAAATTTTACATGATAAATGTTTTAGTATGCGAACATTTAAACTTCAAAACAGAACTTACACCATATTTTCTAGTTCATCTCCTGTATCTTTTTTTTTTCAAAATCCACTATCTTGATAATCCTTTCAAGAAACACCATTCAATATTTATTATAGATGTCTAACTAATACTCCTTCCATTTTTGTTTCAAATTAGTTGTCGTTTTGGGAAAATGTATCTTCAATTATTTGGATGTATATGAATGTGTTTTGAGTTTATAGATCCAGATAATTGCATATACATTTTCCCAAAATGACAACTAATTTTAAACAGAAGGAGTATTCATTTTAATGAAGTTCCTTTAGATAAATTGTTTGTTAAATGAGACAATCAAACATTTGATGAATTATAAAAAAAAGTAAATTATGTGATTCCGCAGGAGTTGGCTACTTTACAAAACTAAGCTTTTTTAAACCGTCTTAAAATCCGGCTTTAAAAGTAAAAACATTATCAGAAATGTGTCTCCTATCCTTAAAAACCGGCTAATTCTTTGTAGTCACATTTGTCGGGTTTTGAGTACTTTTTAAAATAATTGGCAGTTAATTTTATAGTACACGTTACAAATCTGATCGAGCGGAATTCCGTCATGTTATTTTCAGGGTCTTTTTGTTGATAAAGTATGAAATGTTTTCATCTATCATCATTTTATTACTAATGGGAAAAATCATTGAAATAAAAGTATAATTGACAAACATTTTTTTCCAAGTAAATTGATAAACATTATTATTAAAACTTTTTACATGCAGAAACCCAAAAAAAAATTACCGAATCATATTGGTACTACCAAATACAAATTACAAAAAAAAAAATGGTGGCAAATAAGTTAAATGATATAAAAAAAAATACATCACTTCTTAACACAAAAACGTACAAACTTTGTTTTCAAACACACATAAGAAACATTAAGATGTGAGTGTATAAATATGTAAAATATAGAAAGAACTCAAGAAAAAGCCATCAAAAGTTATTTTTTCTTTTTCTTTTTCTTTTTGTCAAATGTATAAATAATGGAAAACAATAGCAAGTCAAGTGCCTCTCTTCCCACCCATCGATTCCTCTCGGTCATTGCCCAATCTCTCCATACTCTCTCTCTCTCTTTCGACAAAGAAAAAGTCAGCGCCGTCCTTTACGCCATAGTTTGTCTCCTTCTCTCTCCCTCTCTCTTCTCTCTCCTCACCAACAGAATCAAAAACCAAAGAGAGCTTTCCTAAATCCCCAAAAAACAAAACCACACGAATTCAAGATCACCAAACATGTCTGAAGACTGGGATCTCTTCGCCGTCGTCAGAAGCTGCAGCTCTTCTGTTTCCACGGCGACTACAAACACCAACTCTTGTGATGGTGAACACAACGGAGGAAACTCTAAACAACAAGATCCTCCTCTCCCTCCTCCTCCTCCTCCCCCTCTGTTCACACAAATCCATGGAGACAGAGACACACAGTCCTCTTCTTGCAACGAGCTACAAGATTCTTGCAAACCTTTTTTACCCGTTACTACTCCTACTTGGTCTTCTCCTCTTCCTGTAGTTTCATCAGCTCCTAGTGTTCTAATGAAACAAGAACAAGGACTCCTCGAATCACAGCAAGATCATAAACCTCCTCTTGGTGTTAGGGTTTTCCAACCACCTTCCACAACCATTTCCTCTTCTTCATCTTCCTCCTCTTCTGTCTTTGTTTTCAGAGGTCAACGCGACCAGCTACTTCAACAACAATCTCAAACTCCTCTTCGATCTAGAAAAAGGTTGTTCATTCGTCAAAAGTAAACCTCATGCCTTGAAATCTTTAAATTATCATCTTTAATTTGTTTTGTTTGCTCTAATTAAACAGGAAGAATCAGCAAAAGAGAACCATATGTCATGTAACTCAAGAGAATCTCTCTTCTGATATGTGGGCATGGCGTAAATATGGTCAAAAACCCATCAAAGGCTCTCCTTATCCAAGGTCCAATCTCTTTTTCCTTTTTTTCTCATTTCGTCTAAAATTTTGTAGAGAAAGAAATGTTTTTTTTTTCTTTTCTTGAGAAAATGTGCTAATTGTTTCTGATCTTTCACATAAAAAAAAACAGGAATTACTACCGATGCAGTAGCTCAAAAGGATGTTTAGCAAGAAAACAAGTCGAAAGAAGCAATTTAGATCCCAATATCTTCATCGTTACGTACACCGGAGAACACACTCACCCTCGTCCTACTCACCGGAACTCTCTCGCCGGTAGCACTCGTAACAAATCTCAACCCGTTAACCCGGTTCCGAAACCCGACCAGTCTTCTGGTCAGACCGTTTCTCGGTCGGATACGGTAAAAGAAGAGATTCATCTTTCTCCGACGACGCCGTTGAAGGAAAACGACGACGTTCAGGGAACAAACGTAGACGAAGAAGTCAACATGGAAGAGGACGAGCTATATGAAGTCGAAGAAGAAGAAGAAGAGGAGGATGATGAAGATGATGACGTGGATGATCTTTTGATACCGAATTTCGCGGTGAGAGATCGAGATGATTTGTTCTTCGCTGGAAACTTTCCCTCTTGGCCCGCCGGATCCGCCGGTGACGGTGGTGAATGATGAAAGACGAGTATAATTTTTAATTATTTTTTTTTTTGTTAAAACTTGACATTTATTGTGTTATATTAAAAATACATATAGAGAAAGAGAGAGAGATAAGACAAAAGACTAGTCTACAATTGTTCTTCGTTTAGACTGACACTAAAAGTAGAAATTAGTCTCAAATAATAATATTTGTCCATTAATATTGACATTGCATATACCAAATATAATCTTTTTCTTAGCTCCAATTGTAAAATCAGCATTTGGATTTTAACATTTAAAACAATAAAGAAAGCAAATTTCATTTTCTGTCAAATTTAATTGTGATTAAATTGAAATATAGACTGACTGGCATCACATATACTGAAACAAACAAAAAAGAAGAAGAAAAATTTGAAGTTTCTTGACAAAAAAAGAAGAAGAAAATTTTAAAGTAATTTATCTTGAATAAATAATTAACCTAATTTAATATCAGGGCCTAGTTAAAAATTATTGGCAGCAACAACCATGCCAAAACAAATTGTATAATACTCGTATTATCTGCTTGCATTTAATGTCGAGATTAGCTTAGTGTAATAATTGAAAAAATAATCATGTGGGAAAGCTAGCTTAGCTAGAGGAGCTACACAACAGTTAATTCGGTTCAGACCGGGACACTACGACTCCGGTTTTCGGTGGCTTTTAATCTCACGAGACAAGACCCTAAATATGGCGTCTTTAGTTCCCCACTTGTGTGTGCCTTTGGCTTTCTATTAAATGGTCAACCATTTTTTATTAAAAAGTTTTTTTTAATATTTTGTCGTAATTCGAAGCGTCGGTCAAACATATTTTAATCGGGGGTTTTTTGTTTTCCGTATTAGAAAAAATGAAAAAAAATCCTGGCAATTAAACGTCTCTGGAATTAAGTAAAGTAGGGTCGTTATTGCTATCATTAAAATAAAGCTATGACGATATAGATATTACGATTTCATTTTTAAAATGTGGAGTATATATTTATAAAGATCATACACTATGGTCGGTCCAGATTCTCATGACGAAAGATGGGCATGCAAGTTGTTACCCCCTTATCTTATTAGCGTTTTAAAAGTGGTTTTCTTATTACTTTAGCGAACAAGCATTTAATGTATCATAAAAATGAAAAACAAATTTAGGAACAAAAAAAAGACACCCATCGTAGGAACAGGCCGTATTTGTAATAGAAAAATTATAAATCCGAAATTAATTAAAAATTAAAAAAACGAATTAATTAATAATATGTCGTAACAAAAGAAAAGACAAGTCATAACGTTATACAACAAGGCCCATAATAGGCCCATTTATCTCAATTATTTCGGCCCATATTTCACCTCTAACTCGCTTTTTGTTTCTTCTCCATCTGAAAAATGTGGGAGTTGACACTGTAACAACAACAAACCATCTGAGATTTCGCCGGAGTTGAAAGAGAGAGAACGATCCAGCGGTTGAGATGTTCCTGCGGGCAATCGGACGGCCATTATTGGCTAAAGTGAAGCAGACGACGGGGATCGTCGGGCTCGACGTTGTCCCGAACGCGAGGGCGGTGCTGATCGATCTCTACACCAAAACCCTAAAGGAGATCCAATCGGTGCCGGAGGACGAAGGATACAGGAAATCCGTGGAATCGTTCACGCGCCACCGTCTCAATGTGTGCAAGGAGGAAGAAGACTGGGAGGTGATCGAGAAGCGTCTTGGTTGCGGTCAGGTCGAGGAGCTCATCGAAGAGGCTGAAGACGAGCTCACCCTCATTGCCAAAATGATCGGTCCGTCTTCTCTTCCCCTTTATCAACATCATCCGATTCATTTGCGGGATTTGAGATTGAATCACTGAGGTCTAGGTCTCTGGTTCTGTAGAAATGAGATTTGGGATTATACATTATAGGGAACAAAGTTTATGAACTTAGTCTATAAGATTGATTCGTTTCCAAGAATTGAGCCTGGAAGAAATAGAATTTGAAGCATGAGGCTTGGTGAATGTTAATGACAAAAGAAAAAGGCTAGTTCTTCAATGTCATATAGGTTTGGTCATGTTCTAAAATAATTTTTTCTTGCGTTGCAGTTATAGTTATCTAGACATTAGTGTTGATGCTTGTGAAAAGTGAAAATCTTTTTTTTGAGTTTCATGATCCTGTGCTTCCTTAGATCTTATGAAATGCATGTTCGTTTATATAAGTAGATTTTGTCACATTGTTTTGGTTGTAATATGCTACTGACCAGATTTTTCATATTATTCCAAGAGAATTTGCCCATTTTGCAACACTTTTGAAATTTTGTTGTTTGCATTTTTACAGAATGGGACCCTTGGGGTGTTCCAGATGACTACGAATGTGAAGTGATCGAGAACGATGCGCCGATTCCGAAGCACGTTCCGCAGCACCGACCAGGTCCTCTTCCTTCAGAGTTCTACAAAACCCTTGAAGGTCTTCTTGCAGAGTCCAAAAGGGAGATTCCAGCTGCTACCACCACCACCACCACCAGCGATCCTCAGTTGAAGGAGTGACTTTCCAGTTTTACCATTTTGTGTGTACTTTGTTGTCTTCTCTTTTGCGGGCCTCTGAATAAAATTTATAAAACTATAACAATGTTGTGCGCTTTTCACAAATGTTTTTTTTGTTCATTCTTGTTGGAAACCTATATGATAATACAAAATGATGTTTCTTCTTCCCTTCTACAAGAGCAATTTAACCTTTCGTAAAGACATGTACCGGATGAGTGATATACAGAAGACCAAACACAGCTGCTTGTTTCGCGTCTTTAATAAAAAGCCTGACCTTTCGATCCCTTTCCTCACTCTTAATTGATACTATCTCTGCTTCGTTTTCTCAATCTAATATCTAACTAACAACATCTCACTTAATATTATAGATCTCTGTATCGTCGTATATAAACCCTAATCCGTGAATTTTCTTAGGTCATAGGGTTTGGTATCAAAGGCACGAACGAACATCAATAATCACGAGGTTAGAACGTGGATTCGTTCACACGTTTTTCTTTTGATACATATGACTCTCAAATGTTACTTTTTTGTGTTTCGTTTATAACATCAATAATCAGTGTCGATCCATTGTGTGTGTTTCCGGGATGGATCTTGGCAAGGTTGGTGAATCCTCAATAAGACAAGGCCTCTATGTGGTGAATGATCCAACACCAGGGATAGGCCCTTTTTTCCGGAGACAGTTGTATGAGTTTGTGAATGATCCTTCAACGGATTCAATACTCAATAGTATCGTGGAGCGAGAGCGGCAAGAGTTTCATCGTTTGGGATGAAGTTGAGTTCAGCAAAAGTCTCTATGCACAGGTCCGCGCTTGAAACGGTGGGCTTCAAGAAAGTTGAATCCAAGCAGCAATGGGAATATGCAGCAGATTTTTGCTGCACAGCAACTACCTTGTGAGCGTGAGCCAACGCCTTATATAATGGCAACGCTCGAGAGAGCCAAGAAGTTTATAAGTGGGGCAAAACCCGTTCTTCTAATCCTCCAGCGAGAAACTTGATGCCACGCCCTAGTTTCAAAAGAGATTTGTATGAGATGGTGGATGATCCTCGCTCCCTTAAGTTTCATTCTGATCTTTCGTTTGTTGCTGTGTTTCAGCTGCTTTGTTTTCTTCTTTTTTTTTTTATTCTTTTCTGTTTTGCTCTTTCTTAACGAATTCGCAATGCGGGATGATAATTGCCTTGGCTTGCAGAAACTTATATAAGGTGCTCATTCGTTTCGTTACCAAAGCATGGGTTGAAGCGTATGACACAAGACAACCAATAAACGTTGCTCAAAGCGTTATCTTCTTCAGTTCAAGTTCAAGGTTTATAAAATATAGGGCAAAATCCTAGAGCAACACCGAAAGCAACTCCAAGTAATAGGTTGGAGATTATTCAATACAAGAACACTAAACAGACTTATCGGCTTGATGATTCTGAAGCCAAGCCTTCAAGTGAGGAACCATCCTCTCCATCCCTCTCCGTGTTTCAGGCGAAATGTAAAACCCACCACAAGTGAGTGGCCGTGTAAGCTCAGGCTGACCTCTCAGGAAATAATCTTCAGCAAATTCCAACCGCTCATCAACTTTCGTAAACCCCTCGCCTTCAAGCCACCGTGTGAAGTATCCCATCTCCGTGAATGGTAAGCATCTCGGAAGAACATCTTTGACAAACTCAACTTCATTCCAAACGACGAAGCTCTTGCCGCTCTCGCTCCAAGAAACAATCGAATCCGTCGAAGAATCATCCACCATATCATAAACAGTTTTCTCCGAAATGTAGTAGGAGCGGCTTTGTGTTCCTGACTGAGGAAACTAGGACACTGCCTTGAGGAACAATCTCCATGATCGCTACTCAAGCCACCCAGAGCATCCGCAACCTCATAAAATTCTCTGGGAAGACGATGATTGCTGCTGCTACTATCCAACCCTAAACGCTTTCTCTGATGATAATCCAAAACGAAACGATTATTATTAGTTATATATAAACAAAACATTCCGATAATATAATATAAGGAGATGTTTTGAATCTCAAACCTTTTTGTACTCCAACGAGCTGGCAATCATTCCGTGAATCGCCGGCGGTATCGTAATCCCAGGCGGCTGACCTTTCACAAAAGCATCGCATGAGAATTCGCTTTGTCCAGATTCAACTTTCGTGAAGCCTGACAAGCGTTCAACAAGGCCACAAGGCGGAAAGAATTCTTTGCCAAACGATGAAGCTCTTGCCGCTCTCGCTCCACGAAACTATCCAATCCTTCGAAGGATCATCAACCAGCTCGTATAGTAGTCTGCGGAGGAAAGCGCTTCGAGTTACGCGATCGATGCGGAGGCTGCTATTGCCATTATCCATCCCTGAACGCTTCGTTATCGACACAGAACCCAATTATTAACTCCAAGATTGTAAGCAACAAGGAGACAGAACTGAATTGAAACAAAAGCAAACAAACAAACAAACATTCGAGAATCTTATAACCCGAAAGAAAACGTATGAAGATCGAGATCCTAACCTCGTGATTCATGTTTTCGTTCCTGCCAAACCCTAGAAGTATATAGTCTCAAAAGGAATTCCAAATCAGTGTTGACTTCTTATATATATACATACATAATTTCAAATACTATACCATCTTAGAGCAACTCCAACATGAGCACCATGGTGTTGAAATAACACCAAATTTGATGTTTTTATGTCACTTTTACTTTTTCTATCTCAAACCACAAACACCAAATTTTACAATAGAAAAACTTTTCCATTATTATATTATAAAATTTAGATTTTTTTTAAATATTTTAATAGTTTTGTAATAATTAATCTTACAAATTTGTCTTTGTTGCATTTAAGTTTTAATTATCTTGTTTTGGTTTGAGTTTTGTAATTTTGTGTTTTCAGTGTTTTAGTTAAATTTTAATATGTATTTTAAGTCCTAATCACTTTGTATTTTGATTAGATCTTGTGTTTTCAATGTTGTAATTAAAATTTAATATGTATTTTAAGTCTTATTTAATTTGAGGTTTAATTAGATATTTGTTACAATTAAAATTTCATATCAATAAAAATGAATAAGTATAAAAATGTTTATCTTGTTTTTATTTGTAAATTATAAAATATATCAACTAAGAAACATTAAGTTAATTATAAAACTAAATAAAGAAGAAGAAAAATTTAATGTTTGGTGTAATGTGAGTCACACCACTATTCATCTAACACAAAATCTTAAAAAAATGTTGTTGAAGATGCATTTCTATTTGGAGACCATGTGACGCCATATTTGGTGTTATGGCGTCCTTAGCCAATTCAGTAGTTCAACTTTTCGAGGGGGTTTGTTGTTTGACATTGGTAAAATATATATATATATATATATATATATATAATATATATTAGCAAACTGAACGAATGCCTTTTGTTTTTGTGTCTTTTTGTTTTTAACCGTTTTGTAACTATCATATAAAGAGTTGTATCTTCTGGAGTCGCATCTTTTCGTTTATAACCGCTAAATTGTTGAAAAGTTGCACCTTTTAATGATATCTTTTCACTTTTATATATATATGATGTGTAAGACTTTTTTATCTCTGAGTTACAATCTTTTGATTTTTCTGTCCTATTTCTTTTTTGATTTGTGCTATATATGGGGAGAAAATAGGATGAAACTGAAGCATTAGTAATGAAGATGATCAACAGAAGAAGTGAAGATTTGTGAGAAACCATTTTCTGTTGGTGTTAGTATTTTTCTTGCTATTATTTTGTAACTGTTCCTATCATCTGATCTACAAAATCGTGAATCACAATCACTATTCGGTTTCGTTCTTTGTAGTAATCGTTGATTTGCCGTTTCCCATTGATTAACATTTATTTTGGATGTTGAATGCTTCTCATCATCTCATGTTTGATATATCATTGTTTGCTTCCATGTGAAGATGATCATAATTTAGACTTGTTAGAGAACTGATCCATGACTGAAATCATTGAATCATGTAATAACATAATGTTTTACTCAAAAGAAGGATTAAGTCACGACTTGAGATTGATGGGTTATTCAATTATGAAAAGTTACGTACCATCACGAATAGTTACGAACGGCGAACGGTTACGATGTCTCTACGTTTGTTCATGAACGGTTACGTTTGTTCATATAAGTTGTAGTCTTGTGTATATGTAAAGAGAGCGTTACAATTTACAAAGAGAAAATTTCCCGATTTAATATTCAGATTTGATCATCACAATAAGTAGATAAATTATACAAAACTATAAGTCATTTTCCATTGAAACTTTTCCTTGATCGTCGTTGACATTGTTTCGCTCTATGTTTTAGGTTTTCTTTTTCCTTTTCATCTATGTGGCATGTGCATTTCCAGAAGTTGGATTAGTGTCTTTGTAATTCGTTTGAGAATTTGTTAAACCCAATTCCTCTAACGTTCATATCATATTTGTATCGCATTTGTATCGCATTTCACTGATGATATTTACATGATGGATAAATGATTCTCTCGAAGGGTACGTAGTGTTGTGGCGGTTGTTACTTTTTCCTTCCTCCTTAATTTGATGCCGATTCTCTATGTGATTGCCGCCGTGATGATAGGTTTGGGAACCATAATGTATATATATATATATGGTATAATTGTTGATCGAATAGCGTGGGAGACAAGTAATGATTCTTAGTGTTCTTCTCTTCTCACTCTTTCATTATGCGTCGGTTCGTTTTCGTAGTCGTTTCTTCTCCATGGTAGAGTGTTATGAAAAACTCCGGTGTTATTCTTGATTTTCATGTGGGTTTGGATGTACTGATGGTTCGTTAAGTAGTCTGCATATTCTCATCAAGGCGCTCTCAACATGTGACTTTGATCTCTCTTTCTCTCTCTATAATTTCTGCATAAATTTGTATGGTATTGAGTCTATCGACTCTTCTCTGGTTGATTATTCAGTGTTTATTGTTGTAAAGTTTTGAAATTATTTGTTTACAGTGCCATAATGTCTTCCGCGTATAAACAACGAGTTTAAAAAGTGTAACCGAAGCTATTTGAAACCTTTTTTTTAATTGGAATACGCATTGGAAGTTCTATATGTCTGTTCTGCCATTGATTCAGGCACTGGAATTTGAAAATTGTCGTCTATTCAAAATTACGGTTATGGTGTTAAATTCTGCTGAGTGGGTGTAATGCCTTTTCTTTGATTTTTACTTTTTTTTTTTTTTTTTTTTATTTGAAACCTTTTTTTTAATTGGAATACGCATTGGAAGTTCTATATGTCTGTTCTGCCATTGATTCAGGCACTGGAATTTGAAAATTGTCGTCTATTCAAAATTACGGTTATGGTGTTAAATTCTGCTGAGTGGGTGTAATGCGGAACAAGTATGCATCTGGTTTTGGATAATGTTTATTATATAGCTTAATGGTTCATTCACCCGGTTAAGTTAAAGGCCATTTGTTAGCTTCTGTTTCATAATTTGTACTTTTTTTTCCGTCTAAATTACTTTATTAATTGACCAAAGTACAATCAGTGTTTACAAGAGTATTCAGAAAAGTTGGACAAGAATGATATAATTGCCATTGTCTCTCCAAGGTCAAGGCTTTCTTTGCCAAGTAATCGGCACACAAGTGTCCCTCACGCTTACGAAATGTAAAAAGGACGTGAGAGAAGATACTCCTCCAGCTATCAATTCCATGAATATAATGTTGAATACCATTGATGAGGTCATTAAGTTGGAATTTATCCCCTTCGAACTCTATAGATCAATACCCTAAAGCCCAAGTTGCTTGTAGTGCCCAAAGTAAAGCGGAGCATTCCGACTCCACTGCCGAGACTCGTCCCTGATATTTATCCATGCCACAATCAAGGAAATGACCATTTGAATTGCGTATAATCCAACCCATTCCAGAATCTTGATCTCCGTCATGATGAGAGGCATCGTAGTTGCACTTGACCCAACCTCGACTTGGTACTTGCCACTGGATAACATGATTTCGTCTTTGATATTGTGGTAGGCTGGTAGCTGAGATGTTGGGTGATATGTTCATTCTGTTCATCATTCCTATGGATCCATTCGCTTGTATCACATGTAGTCCTGTTGGTAGTCTCTAACGGTGAAAGGACAACTACAATGATCCATTTCGGCTTTTCCATAATCTCCATAAAATCCAGGAAGGTAGAGCTCGTTTGAATAAAAGTAAAACAGACTAACACAATCAGCAAAGGGAGAACCACTAAAGATATAAAATAGTAAAAATACAGATAAAAGTATTTAAAATACAGATTCAATCACTTACATTATGTAACTCTCGACACAATGTTTCTTATGTTTTTTTTTTTTTTTTTTTTTTTTCTAATTTAGACCATCTTACACAGATGAATTTTCTATCGACCCACTTTTGTGAACGAAATTATTCAAAAACAAAAAAAAATAGCCCATTTTAAATCAGCTGTTTGAATGATAACACGAAATAAGAGTAAATCTCAAGCTCAAGCGTCGAAACTATACACAAATCCATAAACATGATGGATGCTGTCACAATGTTCAAAACGGCATCTTCTTCGGTTCAAGTTCAAGGTTTATAAAATACAAACATAATGAAACCAACAACAAGAGACATAATGATATAAACCATAAGTTAACATAGACCAAATAAAAAAGTTTCAAACCATAATGATAAATAAATATAAGTGGTTGACTAGCCAACAAGGGTTTAAGTAAGAAGCAAAGCAAGAGCACTCTGGAGTCTGGAGGAAGTTGGCAGCTTTTCTAACTATAGTTGAGAAAACAAACGCAGAGATAAAATGAATAAAGACTAAAGAGTGAGATCAAACAGCGCCAAAACAAGTTGTTGTGTTTGGTAGTGTGCACACATTACTACAACTCATCAAGTACATGTTGTTGTCTTTTTTTTTGGGGAGCAAAATACATGTTTTCTTAATTTGTTTATCTTAAGAACCCTTGATGAGGTTATATCATTGGAGGACAAAATACAAAATAATCTAAAGAGGAATTCTTAACTACAATTTATAATAATCTTTTTGCTAAGAATCCCTCATAGAGTTATTTAAGGTGTTGTGACCAATAAACTATTTTGATATTCAAAGCGAAATTGTTCTTTTTAGGCATTGTTACTTATCCACGCATGTGTGCATGAAATAGGGCGAAGATTGAGTGAATAATACCTCAAAATCTTGGTTTTTCTTCTTTAAAGAGAAAAAAAAACTAGTTGTTGTTTCTTCAAAAACTAGACTTCAAAATACAAATTGAGAAATACATTGAGCGAGTTGAAACACTTTTTCAGCAAATATCAATGGTGAGTATCATAATTACATTGGTCTCTTTCACTCAAGGTCATGATCATGTGCACACTTGTACGGTTACAAACCACAAGTTGGTTGTTGAGATATATTAGTGATGAGTGTTTAGATTATGACATTGAAAATCCATATAGAACGGAACAAGATGGACGACCATCATAAGGAAATAATAAAAACGCGAAAGACCAATAAACTTGGCTGTATCATATTCTTTTTAATATACTAGAACTGCTGCGTCCCTCAGCTCCTCAAGCAGTTTCTTCAGAGAAGCATCCTCTGACCGTACATTCTCAAGTCGTTTTTCTACCTTGATCCTCACAAAAATCCTGCGCGAAAGTCCACATTTCTTCAAACAGCTCTCTCGAACCTGGATCCAGCGTATCACCATCTTTCAAGACATCTTGCTGATCATCTTCTTCATACAAGGATAGTCACATGTGGTTCGTTTTTGATGAGCAACCCTATGCGGTTTTCTTTAGCAACGGGACCTTCCATCTAGTTAAAAATACATGTTGCGAAAACAAATAATTTGTTCTTTTCCATTTTCGAAAGTTTCATTGAAAACTTCGGCTATATTGAGTTAATTTACATATGGACTTTGAACCAAATTTAACTACACAAACACATTAAACAAACAAATTGGCTCATATGGTGCATAGTTTGTTCAAGTGGAACTAATACTGCCTATGCTTATACATCGTTTCTAAATTTTAATTTAACTAATCCTTTTCATCGACATCTTCCTTTTCTATTTTAATTATTTCATTATATCTCTTACAATAACATTTGTAGAGTTTTTGGTTTTTTGGTTTTGTACAAAAAAATCGATTGAGTTGGGTACTAATAATTCAATCCGGGACACCCAAGAAACCCGAAGAAAATAACATTAACCTTTTTATGTATATAAAAAAATATGTGGAAGAACATTTTGAAAGTACTGAGAACTCTTTAAAATGAAATTGAAAATTGATGAACACTCTTATTCGTTTGCATACAATGAAGAGGCTGGTAAAGAGGTATTTGTAGCCTCAAAATCTACAAGTTCTTATTTTTTACAGTTAGAACTTTCTATCAAGATCTCTAATATTTTTATCGTATTTAAAAATATCCTAGATTTTTCACATTAATATCTAAACATTTTAGTTTCCTATAGAAATTATAAAAAGTTCGATCAAGTTAAAGGCCCAATATGGATTTGGTCTATTAGCCCATCATTAACATAGTCCCAAATTGAACTGCATATATTTCAATAAACTGGTGAATGCAGAAAATAATTACTGATCTTATAATTAATATGAAGTCTATCAGATTTCTCATATGCTCAAAGAAACTTGGTCAATTCACCGTGATCGAGATCTTCTCACACAAACAACGTAATGTATGACAAATTCTCACGTGTCTAATAGAGTACCGAAGAACCGAACCACCATAACCTCAAATAAATTTCCCACAAGATCATAAACCGATATATATATATATATGCCTCTTTGTTACGCAAAAGTGTGTCGTCCGATTTTATGGACCAGACGAACTTTATTCTGGATTGTTAAAAACATCCTCACAATAAGACTAAGGCTTTAAAACATGTACTAACTCAGATCATGACTGTTAGGGAAGTCCTCAAAATAAGTATACATATGTTCATGTGATTATATATTTATTTCGATCGGTAAATTAGAACACCAAAAACCAAATTAAATATTTCGTCGTTCGCAGTACTTCTGAGTCGGCCGAGTTGCATACAAATAAGAAGCACGCGAATCTTGTTGCTTTTTGAATTTTGACTACTAGGTTTAATTAGTTTTCTGTTTAGTTTTATTTATACTTTATCTCACATCGCGTCCTTTTATTTTATTTTATTAGGATGTTAACACCCCACTTTATCTCGAGTTTTCTATTTCTAACATTTTAGCATGTTATAAATATTATGTTTGTTTACTTCTGTTAGACTATAAACATGCATATGTATTTGACTCAACGTTAAAATTTGTAAGTATAATGTAAAATCGCATTTGCACCGAAATAAGATGAAAAAAATAATATATATACTTTTTTACATATCTACTTTGTTGTGGTAGCATATGAGCCTCATGACCATTGATTATTTTCTATTATGTTAGTTTTGTAATTGAATATATTTTGAAACAAACATATCACAATCCTTAAAATTTTCATGTTTTTCACTGCAATTAAATTTACATATAAAAACTCGACTTCTATTTGTTTAAAAAAGCAAACTCTAACTCTAATTTCTCATTGGTTTTTTATTATCTTAATTAATTTATATTCAACTTTTTAACTTGTAAACACATTATAACATTTTGAAATAGGATAAATCCTTTTAATAAAAAGGTAAATATATACCATTTCAAGTTAAATATATTTTTACTTATATTTTTTTGATAACTTTTAACATCAAGTTATCACATACTTTATATTAATTAAGTAATTTAGTTGTGTATTTTTCTTAGTTTTATTTATATTTAAAATATAAATATATGTAAAGAAATATGAATAGTCATGTATTAAATATCTTAAAAACAATTTAATGAACTTTTTTGATGTGAGAGAGCAACTCTCCTATTATATATAAGATATAATATATTATATATAATATATATTATACTGATGCAATAAATATACACAAATAAAATCTCTAATTCGATTTAAACTTTAAGATATGTTCAATCCAACGTTGGGTATGGAGGTGGGTGAGGGGGGGGGAGGTGGAATAGAAGAGTTGTATCACCAAGTTGTTGATTGAAAATACGCATTTATACCTTAGAAATAAATAGACTTTTCAGCATCGTGATTCTGAAGCCAAGCCTTCAAGTGAGGAACCATCTCTCCATCCCTCTCCGTGTTTCAGGCGAAATATAAAACCCACCACAAGTGAGTGGCCGAGTAAGCTCAGGTGCGTATTTATTTGATGCTGCTATTGCCACAATCCATCCATGAACGAGATTTTGTGTCAAGTGATTGAATCTGTATTTTAAATATATCATATGTTTAGTAATTATTTAAGGCATTGTGAGATGAAGATTGAGTGAATTAATGCCTCAAAACTTTGTTTAAAAAAAATATATATATATAATCGTTGTTTTCTCAAAAAGGAGACTTCAAAATACAAAGTGAAAAATACTTAAATTGAGTTGAAACGCTTAAATAATTTAAAGCAAATATCAATGGTGAGTATTTTGATTACATTATATTGTCTCTTTTACTCAAGGGCATGATCATGTGTACATCTTATACGGTTACAAAACATAGGTCTAAATTAGTAAGAAATAAACATAAGAAATCTTGTGTCAAGTTACATAGATGTAAGTGATTGAATATGTATTTTAAATATTTCAAATGTTTAGTAATTATTTAAGGTGTTGTGAAATGATATTTGAGTGAATTAATGTCTCAAAACTTTGGTTTTTAAAGAAAAGAAAATTAATCGCTAATCTCACAAAAAAGTGAGAATTACTTTGATTGAATTGAAACACTTAAATTTCAGCAAATATTAATGGTGAGTATTTTGATTACATTGGTCTCTTTCACTCAAGGGCATGATCATGTGCACATCTTGTACGGTTACAAACCACAAGCTGGTTGTTGAGATATATTAGTTATGAATGTTGAGATTCAGATCATTAGAGCCAGTGAGTCAAGCACAGAGATGTTGGCTCGGTTATCATCAAAGCTCAAGCTCTTTCTCAACTGCCTTGTTGCGGATTTGGACAAGTTGAAACTTTTCCTTCTGCGAAGCCACAACGACAATCTCCTCTACATGGTACATCATTTCATCTCTGAGTTTCTGGGCAGACTCTACGAGGTTCATGAGCAAGAAATCGTCCTCATGTGAAGCGACCTGCTCTATGAAGTCTATCGAATGGTCAATGATGCAATGTCTATCATCGCAGAATGCACCTTTCGGGAGGAAAATTACATGAGGAGACAAGTGGTAGAAGAAGACTAAGTAGCTGATATGTGAAGAGACAAGAGGAAGGAAGACTAGTAACTGTTTGTTTTTATGTTTATGGGAAGAGACAAGAGGAAGAAGTAGACTAGTAGCTGTTTGTTTTTATGTTTGTGTGTGCTGTTGTATGAAACTAACTATCTATATCTATTAGGATTTTGTAATGACATTGAATGTTGATCTTATGCCTTTCGGGTGTTTATGAATCTGTGACTTCTTAGATTATTTTGATTTTTAGCTGTATCTGTATTTCTAGTTTCTCTTTTCATCTAGCAGGTTGAAAAGGGTATGTTCCTGTTATCTGGTTCAAAACTAATAGAGGGCATGACATAGGTACAATGCTAGTAAGCTCTCGATTCACACCTTTGTTTTATGCTTGACACGTCTAATCTCATAGTTGACATGGATGGTGCTATTACCATATTTGACTCTTGGCAACAAAAGAATTACGCATTTGAATGCATTCTCGTGTTTTTTGGTATACTTGAAATCAGGCATGGCCCTATGCATGTGCTGGAGATGTATTTGCACGGATCCAATATCAATTTTGGGGTTTCTTGGGTTTTTAGTTTTTAGAGTAGGAAAAAAGGTAAATATTTCTTTTCATAGTTTTTCTTATAGAAAAAATCCAAATTATTTAACTTTTATAGACTTAAGACCCAATGCTTTGGGTCTTAATGCTTGAAAAGGTTTTGCGATTTGGTTAAGTGCTTTAGATGATTTATCTACTGGTCATGGGTGTGAATCTCTGATCTGATAACCAAATAATGAAAGAGACTTTTTAGTTTGCAGTCTTTTTTTTTATCTACTGGTCATGGGTGTGAATCTCTGATCTGATAACCAAATAATGAAAGAGACTTTTTAGTTTGCAGTCTTTTTTTTTATCTAGATAATCACTCAGTACTTGCCTCCATTATCACTTTTTAGATACATGAATCAATCTTCTTCTTTTGCATTATATTCAAACATCTGACTTCTGTTTGGAAGCTCATTAGTGAATTGAAGGTAAACCTTTAAGCTATATCTGACAAAAAACATTCTGGTCGTTATTTTTCTGCATTAGTATGCATTCCTCTTCTGCCTCGTACGCTTTTTTTCACAGAAATATCAATATCAAAAACCTAAGGTGATACAAATGATGTTTCTTCCCCTCTGCAAGAAGAACATTCGCCATTCCTAAAGACATGTACTCGATTCCCATCTCTCACAGTTATATTCTTATCAACTAACCTTGTCACAAGGGACACAAAATCATGACAGTCCTTACAAAGGATTTTGTTCTTGACAACATGAACCATAGTTTGTGGTGATGTGTACACAAGGCCAAACACAGAAGCTTGCTTCGCGCTGTGATAGCTTGCGTTTTCGCTACCTCTGTATGCAAAACCTGACCTCTCAATCTCACTCTTTATCCACTCTATCTCTGCGTATATCCCCTTCGTTTTCTCAACCGTAGTAACATCCTCACTCACAAAGCTGTGAACTTTTCCTTGAATCTCCACTGTGCTCTTGCTTATCTTCTTACTCAAACCTTTCTCGCTCATCAAATCTCGAATCTTTTGAGCCAACTCTTGTTTACCAGATTCTTCATATAAGTCTGCCAAAAGTATATACAAGGCTGGATCATAAGGAGCAAGCACTAAGCCTTTGTTAGCCATATCTTCTCCTAAAGACAGATTCCCATGGTATCTACAAGCTCTCAACAATGTTTTGAAGATCAGAGCATTTGGCCTTAACGACATCGTCTCTACAACTTCTCTTGCTTCCTCTAGCCGCCCAGCACGACCTAAGATACCAACTAGATGAACATAGTGTTCTATCTGCGGCTCAATGTTATGAATCTCCTTCATTGATCTGAAGTACTCCAGACCCATCTCGGTCAATCTTCCGTTACTACAAACAGAGAGCAATACCAGAAACGTAACCGAATCAGGTTCGGTTCCTCTCATCCTCATCTCTTCGAATGCAGAGAGAGCAGATGAAACACAGCCGTTTGATGCCAAACCAGATACCAATCCGTTCCAAGAAACCACATCCGTTTCAGCTATCTCTTCAAACGCTTTCCTTGCATCTTCCAAGCTACCACATTTACCGTACATGTCAAGCAAACTATTGAAAACCGAAACAGAGCTAAAATACCCTGTTTTCACAGAGTGACAATGAAGATGCTTCCCAGTTTCAAGAGCTCCCAAGTTAGCTGAAGCTGAGATAAACCCAGGTAAGCTAAACTGATCCATTCTGATTCCATCACCACACATATCATTCATGACACTTAGTGCCATTTCATGCTTGCCTAACTCATTAAACCTCGTTACCAAGCTTGTATATGTAATATCATCTCTCCTTTCCATAGAATTAGCCACGTTCCATGAGTAAGCTATCTTATTCGAGCTGGCATACGCATCCACAAGCGAATTCCATACTATTATCTCACTATCTAATGATCTTCTAAGCAGATATCCATGAATCTCTAATACCTGCTTTATAGATTTCAATCTGCTGCAGGCTCGGAGAACACCAGACAGAGTAATACCATTAGGTTCTACTCCTTGTGTTACCATCTCCCTCAACAGTCCAAAACAATCTCTCTCGAATCCATGATCAATAACACCAATGATTAACGTTGTCCAAGAGACGACGTTTGGTGAGATCATTGCTCCAAAGACTCTCAAAGCTTCTACTTCTGACGACGAGCACTTCATATACATATCCACAAGTCCATTTCCCACATCAGTGTTCTCCTCCAAACCGACTTTAACCGTCTGCGAATGAATCTGCTCGCCTAAATCCAGCGCCATAACAGAGGAACACAAGCTCAAGATCGCAGAGTATGTGAACTTATTCGGTTGCAAACCCAAACCACGCATCTCAAGAAACGCAGCAACAGCTTCCTTGCCTCTCAAGTTTCTAACAAACCCTGAAACCACAGACGTCCAGAGAAACACATCCTGCTCTCCACTCGAATCCAACACCCTCACAGCATCTTCCATTTCAGAGAACCTCGAGTAGAACTCAACGAGAGATGTCTTCAACACCACGTTCACCGGAATCCCCAAAACGATTACGTTGCTATGAATCATTTTACCAAACTCCAAACCAAGAAACGAAGCGGCACCTAAAAGCTTAACGAAAGTAAACTCGTTAGGAGGAACACCAGATTTAACCATCTCAGAGTAAAACCGCAACGCCTCTCTCCATTTACGAGCTTCAACTAAAGAAGATATCATCGTCGTCCACGAGATGGTATCACCGTTACTCTGAAGAGACCTAAACAGTTCACGAGTTTCCTTAAGCTTCCCACACTTTGAATAAAACCCACTCAAGCTGCTTCCTATAATGGAGTTTCGTTCAAACCCATTCTTTATAACAGAGCCATGAACTCGAGCTCCGTAATGGAAGTCTCTTAAACCAGCACAAGATCTTATCACAGAAGAAAACGTGAACTCGTTCGGGTGTGACGTTCCAAAAGCCAACATTTCATCGAACAACGAGAGCGATGACGCAAGCTCTCGGCTTTTGGTATAGGCAGAGATCATGACAGTCCAGGCAAAAACACTTCTTTGCGGCATTTCGTCGAACAGTTTACGTGCATTGCAGAGACCATCTGTTTTCAGGTAGAGGCTCAAGAGATTGTTGCAGAATTCGAGATTCTCTAAAAGACCCAGCTTTATTACAGGGGAATGGATGTGTAAACCAATGCGCAATGCGTTGGGCTCGCAGAAGGAGAGGATGTGACTACACGATTGTTGAAGATGGTGACCAAGTTCGTTAGTGCGAGAGAGAAATGCAGAAGCTGATACTACTTTGTTCGTCGTCATTGTTTAGCATCAGACTTTTAGATTTCCACATCGCTGTTTCAATAGAGACGTTGATTCGCTCGTTGACATTCAGTGCCGGCCCGTAGTTAACGGTGGCCTAAAGGAAATTTCAAAATTATGTGGCATTTTCCAAAAGATTATTTAATAATTAAACATATTAATAATAAAATTTAAAGAAAACCAGTATGCAATGTTATTGGAAGGATTCGAACACACTACTATAGAGAGAAGAAAGGAACATTTTACCAATGAGATAAGAAGTAATTTTGTAATATGTGGCCCAACAATTGTATATATATTGTATCTAATGCTTCATCTGCCTTATGGACGGGCCGGGCCTGTTGACATTTTTAGTCTTGAATACGCATACGAACATGTTTGACTTTAAGTTTTATTTTGGTCGAAATGTTTGACTTAAAGTTAATACTCCCTTCGTTTTCTAAACATGAATTTTCTAGATATTATTTGTTGTTGTTGTTGTTTCACAAAGATAAATTTTCTACCTTTTTGATGCACTTTTTCAGTTTTCAAGAAACAATAATTGTGTTTTGTAGATTTTTATTAGTTTAAAATTATAAAAAATTGTTTTATTGTAAAAATCTATACACTAATGATTGGAAACAACTTTTTATTAATATATGTGAAAAGTCTAAGAAATTTATCGAAAAAAAAACGGAGGGAGTATTTATTTAGATTTGTGTTTTTTTTGTGTGTGCACATTATAGAGTTGTGCTTAGACACTATTTTTATTGCTAAACTATAGACATTATTAGATGATTAAACGGACACAGTAAACAATTCGAAGTGTCGTTAGCCGAAATTAAGGAAAAAACTAATTTCGAACAACTGAATAAATCTTGGAAGTCTTTGCTTGATATTTGGACAAAAGTTTTGTTTGGTAACAATGAGATTCTTCAAAGAAAGGTGTTCACGGGCGACTAGAAAAAGAACAAGTCCGTGACCACGACATAATTATTAGACAATAACATCACATAATTTATATGGTGTACATGTACATTGTATTGTACTTGGGACTAAATCTCAAGGAAACAAACAAGAGAAAGGGACACAGCATTTACTTTTTGGATGGCAACGTGACCAAAATGATTTAAATTTTCCACTCTTCAACAAAAAAAAAATTACGTGGGAAATTCAACTACACTAATCGTCAAATTCGATTTTTGTGTTGTCTAATTTATAAACAATTGAAAAAAGCATGCATATAAGCTTTACGAACTAGTTTAGACTTTTCGCAGCAAGTATTTTTTTAATTGAAAATCCTTTAACAAAAAAAAAAAAGCAAGTATTTTTAAGATTATAGATGATATCATTAGAATTTATCACTTTTGAAAAAATAGACGGAAAAGAAAGAGAATTTTGAATTTTCAAAAGAAATGGACCCCGTGAATTGAAGACCAATGTTTGTCTGCAAGCAACAAATTAACCAATGCCACAATTTTATCACATTGTGCGCCCACCTAGATCCTTTAGCCTAAGCTCTATTCCACATATTGATTTTTGTAGAATGTAGATAAGTAAAGGAGAGATTAATCATTATTTAATCCCTAGTTACACTTGCATGTACACGATAGATATTGTAATTCAGTCATTCAATAAGATTATTCAGCCTCTATTTAATCTAGTTTCTGTTTTAGGAGAAATTAGCACATTTTCCCTGAGCCCGTCACAATTAGTAACAATAGCAAGGTCCAGCCCGCCTTCATCATTAACCTCCTCAAATAAATGGCAAGTCTTGAGGAGAAAGGCAAATATTTGGGAAATTGTAAAGAGAGATATATGCCGACTTGAAGAATGGAAATAAATCAAGGACAAGAGGAAGTTTTCCAATTGGAGAAAAGGAAGAATATCTTGAAGAAGCCAACCTCCTCTCCATATAAATAGAAGACCCCCTATTCCTTGAAGATGATCCAGAAACCTCTGCAAACACCTAGAGCATTGCTACTCTTTTCTCCTTTGTTCTCTTTATTTTCGTATTCCGTCTTGTCGAGGCCTGTTCGACGAGACCCCCTCTTTATAATTGCATACTTCACCTCGCCAAGCCTATTTGGCGAGAGCACCATCCTTGTAATCCTTTGATATTTCTTCAAGTGAAAGTTCTCAGTTCCCAAAAACTCAATCTTTGATACTCGCTCTTAAGTGTGCTATCTCAGATCTAACAATTGGCGCCCACCGTGGGGCTGGGAACGCTTTTCACTTTCAAACTCGAAAGAAGTTCTAGGATTATAAGAAGACAGCTGATGTCAAACTTAGAAGAAAACACTCCCGACAGGAGCCCTCGCCGAAACCGGAAGGATCCTGACGATGAGAGAGACCCAGCAACGGTCAAGAAGGCCCTACGCCGAGACGAGAAGAGCCCATCTCGTCGGTCGACCTTGCCGACTCGAGGGGAAACGCTGTCGCCCTCCCCTCGTCGCGGCATGCCGCGACGAGACCATCTCGCCATGACGATATCCTCAAGACGATTCAGACGCTCCTGAAGCCACTAACCGAGGGCTTCAAAGCGATGCGAGCCCAGCAAAAGAAGACCCAGGAGCAGGTCGATACCCTGACCCAAGAAGACGACGAGGAACCGTTGGACCCCGCTGCCGCGACGACCAACGGAACCACTAATCGTCCCGCACGAGTTAGCAGACGAGCAGTCTTAGAGCTCGAACGAATGCACCGTCGCCTCGACGAGTTCGACTCTAAAATCCATCGCATCACTAGCTCAGCCCCGGAGTTGACAAAAGCACTTGCCGACACCCGGAGGAGCCCACTCACAGCAAGGATTCGCCGAGTCCAACTCCACGACAGAGTACGACTTAAGATCGAACCCTTTGCTGGCGACCAAGACCCGAAGAAGTGGTTGACGGCATTCAACCTCGCCATGACGAGAGAGAAATATGACTCTCTCGACGAGAGGGATGCAAACTATTGTCAAGTCTTCGTCGAGCATATGACGAACGAAGCCCTTGTCTGGTTTTCAAACCTCCCTGCCGAGACGATTGATAACTTTGACGATCTGACCAATGCTTTTCTGAAGCACTACTCCATGAACATGACTAGGATCACCCGAAACATGTTCACTGTGACGCAATCAAAAGGCGAGCCCCTTAAGAGAATTCATCGAAAGATTCAAGAAAGCAACACTTGATCTCGACGACATGCCAGATAGTGTCCCGCTCGAAGCACTTCGTAACGGTCTCTGGTACAACTCAAAGTTCAAGGAAGACCTATCGCTGAGACCATCGACGAACTTGGAAGACGCGCTCCACCGATCCCAAAACTACATTTTCCTTGAGGAGGATAAAGACTTCTATGCCGAGAAGCACGGCGTGAAGAGATCATTCCCTTTTGCAGAAGATGACAGCCCCGAGAATCACTGGGACGTGACCGAGATGCCGTCACAATCCGCTCCGTCAACCCCATCTCGTCTCCGCTCGACGACACCACGAATGACGAGTGCGATCATACTTTGTACTGTCGCTTCCACAGAAGAACTGGTCATTCTATCGACACCTGCACGGAACTCATCAGTAACCTCTTGGAGCAGTACGAGAAGGAAAACTTTCCGGTGGAAGACTTCTCCCACGTTCATGGATCTCTATGAACTTGCGAAATTTCTGGTCTAGACGCGTAGCCTCGCGTCGTGCAAAAAAAAAAAAAAAGGTTGTTGTCAAGACGCGTAGCTTCGCGTCTCGTCAAAACGAACTACGAATGGCTTGATCCCGGCATGGGTACGTAGGCAGTCTTTTCACCAAGACGCAGCTGTAAAACTAATAAAAATAAAAAGCTATTTGTTTTTATTAGTTCGCTCAAGCGAACGCACCTTTCTGTGACTCCTTAAAGACGTTTCGTCTCAGCAGAGAACCCGAACAATAATTTTTTGTTCGAAATTGCCATGATGGAGAAGCATCAATCTCATTCTCAAAACCCCCCGAAGAAATTATGTCGTCAATAAAAGATCAGCAAATCGTTTCGTCGACAGACTCGTCTCGTAAAAGGCATCGCGACGAACGGCGACAAGACCCAGAAGTGGCCAAGCTGCGCCGCAACCTCGATGCAATCAGCTCCAAAGTGCACGACGCTATCAGCTCGGCACCCGAGATTGCCAAAGTCCTCGCCGAGACGAAAAGAAGTCCTTCACTCGTCGTATCGCCGCGATACCTCTAAGGGATCAAACGGCTCTCCGTCTTCAGTTCTACAACAAGGGTGACGATCCTCGAAACTGGCTAAGAAACTTCGAGATGGCCATGAGAAGGCAAAAATATGCCTCCCCCGAAGAACAAGACGCAAATTACTGTCAAGTGTTCATCGAGCACATGAACAAAGACGCGACGAGCTGGTTTTCGAACCTTCCCGCCGAGACCATCGACAACTTTGATGATCTCAGCACGGCATTCATGAAACACTTTGGCATGTTTATGTCAAAAGGCAGCACCAATCTTTTCACTATGGCACAGGGAAAAGATGAGTCTCTTCGCAAGTTCGTCGAGAGATTCAAAACAAGCAGCAGAGCACTCAGACATCCCTGACGCGATAGGAATCAAAGCTTTCGAAAACGGGCTTTGGTTCGAATCAAAGTTGAAAGAGAGTCTGATGCTCGACGAACCCGCAACCCTCCAGGACGCTTTGCACAGTCCCAAAAATACGTCTGCGTCGAAGAAAGCAAGGCGCACCACTCAAAGATTCATGGAATGACGAAGGAGTCATCTCGGCACGCATCATCTCGTCAAGATTCATAAAAGGAGGCCTCTAAGGAGTCTTTCACAACAGGACAGCGACGAGTCCAAATGGTGCAAACTCCATGGACGAGCCGATCATACTACAGAAGAATGTAGGCACGTCATGAGCTTGATACAAGAGTATAGCAATACTCCGCAAAGCCAAAGTATGCTGAACGCCGCGATGAAAATCGACGAGCTGCAAACCAGCGCCGACGTAAAAATCCGACGCCAAGATGAAGGCGACGACGCCGAGAAGAACGCGCCTGCATCACTCCCTCACCAAGATGATCTGCCTCCGCCGCCACCGGTTCCTGACGTAGAAGCTCCCGTCACGACCGCCGCGTTAACCGCCGCCATGCAAGGCTTTACTGCTCAAATTGCTTCTCAATTCGCCCAGATGCAAGCTCAGCAGCAAAAGTACAACGACACGAAACCGTCGCATCCGTCAATGGCAGAAACATCATCTCCAGCATGTCGTCACCTTCAAACTCATCAGCAACTTAAGGTCAGCATAATAACTTTATTTTTTAAATATTTAATAATCTCGTCGAAGAACGACGGCGACACTTGATTCAACCGCAATCGCAATGCATGATTTATTTCGTCAACAAATGAGTAAGCAACACGCCTCTTCATCGATAAACAAATCATCGACGAACCTCTTCGTTGACGAATAATCAATGAATCCTACTTTGACGAGATAAGCAATCTCTGCATTGCCGAGATAAAACCTCGCATGGCCTCACATGTTCTGTAGGAATAAGTCGAAACAGCTAGCTTTCGCATTAATACGGCTAAGAATGACTTGGTCGAGTGATCTGCTATGATCAACAAACGCATCTCGAGTCATTCGTTTTGCATCGCCGAAATGAAATCAGAAGCATCTGAAACGAACTACGATTGGCTTGATCTCGGCACGGGTACGTAGGCAGCCTTTTTCACTAAAGGCACAGCTATGGATTAATAAAAATAAAAAGCCCTTTTTATATTTGTTAACCCCAATGCAAGCACTTCTTACAGAACCTTTTCGGAAGGGTTCCCGTCTCGGCAAAGACCCTGAAGTGAACAACTTCACTTTCAGCTGGTAACTGAAACTCTCACCGACGACGTTAGCAACGCAAGCACAGCATGCAAAGCAAAAATTCCGAAAAAACGCAACTCCTCCGACGTTCTGGCCCAACGTTCGGACGCACTTAAGCACAGCAACCCGTGGACTGATCACCCACAAAAGACGAGAGCACGCACCTCGCACGGTTCTAAGCCATACGGGCGAGAAAAAACCGCTGTCTCGTCACGCGTATCGGACTTAAAAGTCGTAGGCATAAATCGAGTTTCTAGACCTCGTCGCCGAATTATGAGGCCTACCAAGCCGCTGCATTCAGACCTAATACGCACAGGTCGGTGTCTCGAATGAGAGTCTTGACGAGCTTCGTAGCATCGTCGTCTCGTCACGACGCACTAGCACTGTCAAAGAGTAGCATCTCGGCATGACACACTTGAGGTTGACGAGTCGTCCCAGCATGTTGACTCATTAGTCTAATGACGATTAGATACTTGATTCATTGCGCTTGGTTGACGGCATATCGCCCCTCATTAAAAGATATAGTAAAAAGCTGGATTCTTTCATTGCGCTGTGAAATTATCAACTATATCTAAATTGCGATTTTCAATCCAAACAGCATATGGATTAAAACCCTCTCAGGCAATGTTATCTCATCGATAACATTCGCCCCGATGACAAAAGTTCAGCAAAACGAGTGAGGAAGAAGGGGGCTAAAGCAGCTTTGATCTTGGAAGCATCCGGACCAGACCCCATCTCGGCATTCGCATTCTCCTCTCTCGAAGAACTTCCTCCAGCTAACGAGGTTTCCATCAGCATCCCGGCGAAAGTTGGCCAAACTTGTTTTGTCCCCTCCATCTCGGCAAGCTTATCATAGAGTACAACAATTATCCATCTCGACGTACCTTTGCGGCACCAGAACAGGCGGACTGCAAAGTCAAACTAAACTCGGTGAAGATGAAAACCCTATCATTCATCCCGTTGAAGTCGAAAACGGTCGCGTCAACACGAACAACGGTCGCGTCAACCCTCTATTGGTCCCAGGCGAAGAAGCTCCAGTCACCAACGCCGCGACTACCGCGCCCATGCAAGATTTCGCTGTTCGAATCGCCGCGACGCAAGCTCCACATCACCAAAGGCGGACGAGTTATCCCTACTGGACGAACCCTTTTCCAGACGACGATAAGAAGTATCACGGCAACAGGCTCTAATGCCGCGACGAACGATGACAAAGAAATCTCTTTGACCAGCTGAAGTCAAATCCGAGAAAATTCATCACGGCAACTATTCTCCTTGACGAGCTGACGTCAAGTCCGAGAGGAATTGCCAAAAGCACATTGCGGACAAGATGACGTCAACGTACTCTTTTCCCTTTTTATGGTTTTTATCCCATAGTGGTTTTTCCATATCAAGGTTTTAACGAGGCGGCACGAATCTAAAGTCAAAACGCAACATCGCACCGAAGGCGAGCTAGCATTGGCGCCACGCAATTGTTACTAATAGCTCTTAAGCTCTACTCTTATACATGAAGTCCGCCGAGATCAAACTGCATTTGACTCGACGAACTGAGGGGGGGACTTATTGTTAGAGGAGAAATTAGCACATTTCCCTGAGCCCGTCACAATTAGTAACAATAGCAAGGCCCAGCCCGCCTTCATCATTAACCTCCTCAAATAAATGGCAAGTCTTGAGGAGAAAGGCAAATATTTGGGAAATTGTAAAGAGAGATATATGCCGACTTGAAGAATGAAATAAATCAAGGAAAGAGGAAGTTTTCCAATTGGAGAAAAGGAAGAATATCTTGAAGAAGCCAACCTCCTCTCCATATAAATAGAAGACCCCCTATTCCTTGAAGATGATCCAGAAATCCCTCTGCAAACACCTAGAGCATTGCTACTCTTTTCTCCTTTGTTCTCTTTATTTTCGTATTCCGTCTTGTCGAGGCCTGTTCGACGAGACCCCCTCTTTATAATTGCATACTTCACCTCGCCAAGCCTATTTGGCGAGAGCACCATCCTTGTAATCCTTTGATATTTCTTCAGTGAAAGTTCTCAGTTCCCAAAAACTCAATCTTTGATACTCGCTCTTAAGTGTGCTATCTCAGATCTAACAGTTTCTATAGAAACAAAGGGTATTTACTTTTATCTTTGATAAAAGGGTATTTTCTTTTTGTAATAAGTTTTATAGACGACTATATGCAGTGTCGACGTAAATAACACAGTGACTCAAAAAGAAAAAAACAAACAAACATAAGTGGCTCAAGTCATTCAACATATGGCTAATGAAATTATATCATATACCACTTTATAAGAATTAGTACGTAATTAAACTAGTGTTTGTGGTCACTATATCTATATGGTACTTATTTCGATTTCTTGTGGACCATAGGATCCAAAACTTGATGTAACATACATAACCAATGAGTGAATTTCGATCTTTCAATCGACAGCCGAGTAGCCGACAGGTCTACAAAATGTTGAATATGACCTCTCGTCTCATGCATGTCTCCACATAGCAAATATCTAGTTAACATTGAAAAAGAGAGACCGATATATTGAATGATTAGGATTCGTACTTGTACATAAGAGGCTTAATAGTTCCAAGAGATTATGGATCGGCAAGGAGATCTTGTCTTTTTTTTTAATACTAACTATAGGGCTTATCATATGAAGAGGTAAATTTACAACGATACGTAGTTAAGCAAAAGAAACATGGTTACCGCTTGGAACGTGAAATCCTTCTAAGGAGATTAAGAAAACACAACACACGATAAAGTACGAAGAACCCTAACAAAACATAAACATTAAACCACCTCTGTTTCTCATGAAGCCCTTTCTTCTCCAACACGACACCTCCGGTAACCAAGCAGATCTTCCCTTGACCTTCCCCAAACCAGACCAAACACTTGGAAGCCAAACACGAGTACTCGTTTATAATAAGCGCATCCAACGCATACTTATACATGGAGAAGAAGTACATGAAAAGCCAGTACTTGGGCAGACTTTCCTTGGAGATGAAGTAACCTGAGAACAAGAAGAAAGCCGCTAGAAGAACGGTCACAAGAGAGGTTCCCGCAATGTAATTTGGGGCAAGAGAGCTCAAGAAGAGAACAAAGGAGTTCGCCATTAGGTTAATGATCCATATCACGAGAACGAAGTACCCAAAAGCATGCCACGTAGGGCAGAGACCGACGAGGAAATAGAGCGAAACTGAGTAAATGACTGAGATAACAAACAAGTATGGCAAGAAAACGAGTGTATTGGCGAGAATGTGAGAGGAGAGTCTGTAAACGCCACTTGAAGTCTCTCTGAGAAGAATCGGACGCTCGTTGATGAAGATTGGTAGGGTTTCGGTTGTTAAAGATAGGAGGAATGTGAGCGTGAAGGCGAAAAGGCCGAATCTTTTCTCGATTCCTTCTTTTCCAATTCCAACGTTGATGTAGATCGTTCCTAGCACAAGACCAACTACAAGGGCTTCTAATGCATTGGTCAGAAGCAACTGTTTTGTCCGGTAAATAATCGTCCAGAATCTTCTCGAAAGAAGGCTTATCTCGGTGATTCTTGATGTTCTATACCGAACAATATTCTGTTTCTCTCTCCGTCTTCGGTTCTCTGTCGAAGGAAGAGCGATGACGTCAGTGTTTCCGTCGGATCCTCCAAGTTCTTGAAGTATTTCCATGGCGTATTCGAGAGAGTTTAGCTGCGGAGGGACGGTGAATCCCTTGGAGAGCAAGAAACCTTCGAGGGAGTCAAGATTTCCATGGTACGCAACAGTTCCTTTCGAAAGAAGTAGCAGGCGATCTATGATAGTGAGAATCTTGAAGCTAGGTTGGTGAATGGACAAGATCACTGTACGTTTTCTTGACACCGCAATAGACTTGAGGATGTGAACAACGTCGAAAGCAGATTTACTGTCTAAGCCGGAAGTGGGTTCGTCAAGGAGGAGAAAGCAAGGGTCATGAAGTAGGCTTAAACCTATAGAAACTCTTCTTCTCTCGCCACCAGACAAGCCCTGTCCAAGTCTTGTGTTGGAGAGGTGTGTTAGGTTGAGTTCTGAGAGAAGAGAGGTTACGGTTTGAGAGGCGTTTGATGGGTCTGGGAGCAATAGACGAGCGGCGAAAGAGAAAGTCTCGGAGACGGTGAGGAGAGGTAAGAAAGAGTCATGTTGAGGAACGTAAGAGGAGATTTTCCGATAAGAGGAAGGGTTGATGGGAATAGAGTTAAGGAGGATTGAGCCGGATGTTGGGGAGGTTTTAGAGGCGAGAATGTCGAGGAGAGTTGATTTTCCGGCGCCGGAAGGGCCAACGACGGCGAGGATCTCGGAGGGATGAGCGGTGAGAGTGATGTTGCGAAGGATAAAGGAGGGTGGCTCAGTCGCGGCAAAGCGGAGGAGAGAGAGAGAGGTTTTGGGTTTCACGTAGGAGACTGAAGAGGTGGTTAGTGTATAGGCTTCCGTCTCCGGCGGAGGCCGCGGAGGAATTTCCATTTGTTGTTCTAACTTGTAAGAGTTAAGAGAGTACTGGTCAAGAGTCTAGTGAAAGTGAGAAGATTTTATTTGGTTTTGTGATGATGCATTTTTTGGAGTTTAATGTTTTAAGGCAAAAACGTTACATTTCTTTCATATTAAATTGTTTGCTTTTATTTATGTATATGAAGTACACTTCTGGGATTTTTTCAGTCTATCGTAATTATCTTTCTTGGATTTGTATATGAATATTGACTTCCATAGGACCATTTTTCTGATAAAAACAAAATTATAACCGTATCGTATGCTATTTTTGTATAACTCGTTTTAGTTTTATTGGATGCCTTTATAATGGATATTCATTAACAGCTTTTGAAAAAGAAATACCACACATTACTAATTTATTTTTATTCCAAATGAAAGAAAGGATTCAACAAGACAGCTTTCGACCAAAAAAAAAAACAAGACAGCTTTTAGAGACTCTTATCCGGAAACATGAAACGCTCAAAACTTTAAGACCTCAAAGTTGACTTGCATTGATGTGTAAGCTAAGCATAACATAACTTCTGCAGAAGAAGTAAATGAATACATTTAGTTTTAGACAGAAAATGGGCGATATGCCCAAAGAATCGACAGATTAATAAGTTGAATAGATCCAAAGAACTTGACAAAGAAAAAAATGAGAGGAATAATAAAGCCAAAAATAACGGGTTAAAACTTGAAACATGTGGACAAAAAAGACTTGAACAACATATACATTTTCATATCAGTTCATATCATATTCTAGGCTTCTAGCAGCCATAAGTACCATTAATAAATATGAGTAAAATATGGGGATTTATGCATGTGTATACAGTGATTAAGAAAAATACAAATGAGGACGGATTGTAACGAGGTCACGGGCCTACTGTTTTCTATCACATTTTCTTTTCTATTGTTATAGTTCAATCCGTGAACCCTGTCTTAATTTGGCACGCGCATCCGAATATTTTGTTAAAACATTTATATGTTTCAGTTTTGTTTTCGGAATTTTGATATCTTGTAAAAACAAAAAGGTATAAATGTATAACCTCTAAGCAAAAAATAGTAGAAGTTTACTAGTTATCCACCGTTCACGGACACGGTCCAAAGCATTTGATGACACAATTTGTTATGCTTGTTTTATCTGTTCTTCCACAATCTTACTTATTTTATTTCGCATGGTGACTTAACTGGTATACTAGCTTATTATCATGATTCCTGGTTTCATAACTTGTCTATGCTTTGTTCGGGAAAACCACCTTATTGTGGCGCATGAGGACAAGTTCTATGGTGTTTAATACCGCCATTTGAGAAATAAATACGCAGAACGTTTATTTGAAAAGAAACCTGTGTGGAGACCTGTTCACATTTAACCTTTTGCGTGTTTTTTTTTTTTTTTTTTTTTTTTTGAACATCAACCTTTTGCGTATTTATTTCACACAACTTGTGAAAACCTTGCTTATTCACACAAGGTTTCCACACAACGTTTTTTTTATCTCTTATCTTTATCTTGGGTTTTAGGTTTTTCTCCTTAATTCAGGCAGTTAGTCAGAAATAAAAAAATATGAAGAGTGAGACAATAGACAAGATCAGCTTGTTTCCAGATGATTTGCTTTTGAAGATATCGTCATCATTCATCAGTATCTGTTAACGAGATGGTAACCATGAGCGTACGGATAACGACGTTTTCTCTTAAAGCATGTGACCAAACTCAATTAAGATTACTAGCTTCTCATGTGATCTCTTAGAGGTACATCGAACTTTATTTCTAAATTTGTACGGTTTGGTGTATGCTCGACATCTACAAAGCTTCCATCTCAAGCTTAATCTATTGATAAACTGACTAAATTAATTTATTGGCTATCTTTATGTAAGAGAGGTGAGAACTATGCGGAGTATCGTTTCTTACGGAGAAATATAAGTTGGAAATATGGAATAATCTAAATATCTTATTATTAGGGTTAAGTCTAACCCGGCCTCTTATAGATTAGTTGTGTAACATAAGCCGAATGTTAACAAAGATTCGGGACGCCATTACAGCAGAAGCTACAAAGCTTCTAAGAACGAACACCTGCTGTTTTGGAGATATACTTGAATCAATAGAGCTACAGTGAGAGTGGAGGTGGATCAGTATATGGAGTGTTAGAGAAGCTAAGATTGTCGTTTGATAATGGAAGAGCTTGTAAACTTCTTATTCACATTGTAGGATCACCGCTTGTCTCTTACCACCTTGGGCATGATTGGTAAGTGCTCTGCAGCAGAGCAATAACTATTTATAGAGCACTAGTGTTAAACCAAATATGCTTTGATTTCATTTTTTAAGTTCAGAGCCATAATTTTAAATATGAAAATATTTTGGCTATGCAGAGCAGATTTTCCAGAGCAAAAATTTAAGATTTGTGAGAATTCTCTCTTCTCATTCCTTAATCTCACTCCTTATATTCATTTTTTAAAGTTTCTTTCCTATATCTATTTTATTTATTTTTAATGCTACATTTATGATATTTTATAAGAAATTATTTATAATAAAAATTCTACAGCACTATAATCTACAATTACAGCAAAAAAATCTGCAACTTAAATTCTACAGCAAAGACACAACCAATTAGCCCTTATCTTGCATTAAATAATATTATAAATCACATCGTTATGAGATCAAATAACTTTATATATGGCTTATTATTGAAAATAAATGGATCGGAGGATATATTATGAGGCCAAGTAAACAAGATCGAAAAATTACATAGGCCTTAACATTATGGGCTTTCGAAAATTCATCTATAGCATGTCAACAAATAAACGAGAATCAAATAGGAAGACAGGATAACACTTTTGAAATAAAATACTAAAATAGTATGAATGGTGGTGTTTCATTGCAGGGAGACAAAAGCCAAACATCAACTTTCTTAGTTTACATTCTAATATGAATTGTAATTAATTTATAACTGCAATATTCGAAGATTCCGTGAACACGATTCCATATTAATGATTTTAGAAGTATATTTTTATTTTACAAATGTAGTAAAATTAAGCTTATATAGTCAAAAGTCAGGTTCGTTTCATTGAGAATATAGTTTATTCAGATTAATAATGGATTCAATACTTTCAAAGTATAGTAGATTGAATCCGTCTATTAGAAAAAGCAACCACTAATCCATATTTTCACGTTTTGGAAAAAAATTATTTACTATTTTTAATCATTTATAATATTCATCAGCTTGTTAAATAATTATTTTTAAAAATTTGGGTCTAAATGGTAACCGCTGAATGTTGCTGAATGCGGAATCTTGCGGAATTAAATGATGAACTAGGGTTGGACCCGCGCCCTGCACGGGGTGATATTTTCTTGATTTAGTTTTATTTTTATATATATTTTTACATAAATATCATTCTATTTACATTAGAAATTTTTTTGAGTGATGTATATTTTTTTAGTCTGGATTGGAACATGACGAAATATTAAGTGACACAGTTGAATCCATATATATATTTTTAATAAGTTTGAAATAGTTTTATATGGCATATATATTTAATATTTTTGATCAATTTTAAATAACTAAAATAGTTTAACTTATATATTAAGTTATTAGATTTTATTATGATTTATTTATTTAGTTCAATTAAAGAACAAAATTAAATCAAATTAAAAAAATTAAAGTTTGGAAACCTAATAAATCAGTTTTTTTACTATGGTTGATCATTATTTGATCTTTTTTTATAATAGGTTTTTGAACTATCATCCCAAAATATAATCGATATGAGACTTTTAACAATTTTAGAGATTTGCTTCATTTTAAAATTTTCAAATCATAGCATATGCAGAAAAAACTAATTTTGTTTTATGAAATATTTTGATGTAATGATATAATTTATTTTTGAAAAAGTAAAGTTAAAAAAATGATAAGATAATAAATTAATTTTTAAACAATTAATATAATACAATTGAATAAAACTTTCCATATTTTACTGATTGATTGACTAATAAATACTTTTAAATTTATTTATAATTTTCGTCACTACAGATAAGGAAATAAAAAAATAATTTTAATAATTATTTTTCTGATTAAATTAATAATAAATATTTCAGCACTTGCCTAATAAATAGAGGTTATTTTTAGAATATTCTGAGAGTGTGGCAAATTGCGACACCTCAGCATGGCATACTTGAAATTAAGTTGAAAACAAAGGGGATTTTTATAAATGTCTTCTCTTTTAATATATAAGGGATAGTTGCAGAATTTGATTGATTAGTTAGTAATATGAATGATAACTGCTGAATGCGGAATGCAGAATAATCAAAAAATTTTGAAAAAAAATATTTGTTTCATAATTTTTTCCTATAAAATATTTAAACTTAAAAATTCAAATAAAATGTTGGTATTAAATTGTAAATATATATATATATATATGTTTAACCGTATTAAAACCAAATTTATTTTAACAAACCAACAATACTTTTTTACAATTAAAGTATTTAAAAATAAAATTTGTTTGATTTTTAATCAAACAAGATTATTAACCAAGAAATTTAATAATAATAGTCAGATGCAACTATGCAAACTGTTTCTATGAAAGTTTAAAGGTTTTTCAATTATATAAAAACTATTAATTGAAAATTATTCCTCTATTTAAAAAAAAAAATTATAGATATCCAAAATTTTGTCCCACGAATTTGAATTATAATAGTTCAAATAGTAAGATTATTTATCCAAATTACATAGATTTTACATGCTATTTATGTTATTCAAATTACTTTTTAAAAATATTTTGAATGTAAAATTGATATTTTTTATCTAATTAGTATTCACTAACAATATTCATATGTTTTGTACTGTATGACATAATAATAATAAAATATCCCTATGATGCAAAGTTTTTGTTGTGATATTAATATATGTAACTGGAATTTCATTTCTAAAATTAAAATTAATAAAAGAACTATATTCATGAAGTAAGTGAAATGTTACAAAAAAACAAAAAAAAAAATTCTGGAATTTTTATATTTTAGTGACTTTATTCTATTTTCAAGCTGAATTGAAGTAAAGAGCTGTGTTGTTTTGTTTTTCATTTTTTATTTAAAATCTTCAATTATTATATAACAAAAAGAAAAATTCTACAAATTTTGTCTTTTTATGAAATTCAGCTGAATTCATCAAGTAGTAACTGGTAACTCATGAATAGTATTCAGCTACATTCCACTAGATTCAGAAATTCTTCAAGACACCAGTTAGACACTAATGCGTAGAGTATCATGTAACAACTTCAAATGCAACAGCAAATCAGTAAACCGTTGAGAACAACTTCAAATGCTACATATATATATAAAAAAAAAAACGGCTAAAAAATGTGAGGTGAAGCTTATAATAGTTCTCATGTAAAGTAGACGTAACCGAAGTGAAGCAATCTAAATGGGATGAAAAGTTTGTGTGAAAATTAATGTTCTAGATGGGAATCTGTAAAACATCTCACGCTTGGGCTGGTCATTAAAAAGTTCTAAATGTAAACCAAGTATATATCTGTAAGTCTCATGTGTGATCATGCACTAAAGCAACCGAATTAACAGTTGTGTTTGAAGCAACAGGAGTACTTATTTTCCGGACAAAACACTCCAGATTATTGCAACACAGATTATTGCAACACAAACTAAAATTTGACTACACAATCGTAGACTCTATTATTAAAGATTTAAAAGTAGTTGGTGTGAAAGCCTCAACAGAGGAAGAGGCCTCTTTCACAGCAAGAAGCTTCTTGAGTATGAACTCAAGGAACCGTTTCTTGTACTCCGCAGGTGGGATCACAGTCGGCTTCTTGAGCACCGATAACTTGGCCGCTGACTCCAGCCTCTTTCTCCAATCGTAGGGGACGAGAAAGTCAACGATTCCACCCACCAATTCCATCCTATCCGTGTCCACGACAAGGATGAGTGAGTAGTCCATTACATTGACTCCTTGTAGTCTCTTCATCTTGCTATCGTCTTTTTCTCCTTTGCGGAGGAAACATAGTAATCAGAAAACTTAATTACACATAGACACAAAATTAAAGTCTTATCACATCATGCTTTTCATTTTTTTCTCCCTTGAATTCTTAATCAAATCCGGTTTTAAAATAACAGTTTTATAAAGCAATCATATTTATTAAAAAGAGAATATATATTAACAAAGCTTGCTAATATATTGTCATATTTATTATGAGTTTGCTTATGATTTGCACCTATTTTTCTTATAATTTGCTTATGTTATACTTATTTTTGTGAAGGAAATATTTGACAGCTCTCTTCTTTTTATTTAGAAATTAAATTTTTGATTTCTAAATAACAATAGTTTATCTATTTTATTTATTAAGCCAAATTGAAGGCAAATTGTTTCAGTTATAATTATTAAGTATTTCGATTCTCTTAGTCATTGTTGTATTCACATATTCTTATTCTCTAACTATTCAATGTTCATAGTTCGTATTTTTCAAGTAAATAATCAAAATATTTTTATTTTATTACAATTTTATACGATTAGAAAATTTGTACTGACAATAATATATACACAGTTTACAAATATAATTTTCATCAGCTAAAATCATATTAAATAATCATTAATTTCACCATTACATTATCAGTTTTCACTACTATATAATTGGCATATAATATTTATGGAATAAGATATAATGTATCTCAAAGAAATATTCTACCCATATTAAACTAAAACAGGAAATAAAATATTGATAAGAAAAATCAAGAAACATCGCACCGGTCTGTCCAACCAAGAGCTGTGAAGAGTATTCACAACCAAGAGCTTTTGCGAAAGCCTTGAGAGGAGGACTCTCAAACCCTAGTTATCCGATATTCTAAGGAATCAACGGATCTCTAGTTGAAGCTTCCGCTACGTCAAAACCAAACCGTTAAAAATGTAACTGCATATCAAACAAAAGCTTTTGCATACCAGTAAATAAATTGATAGTTAATCTAATTGTTGAGTGGGCATTTAGGGCTCATGATTGTATAAGAAGTGTATACGGACCAACAACTTTTTTTAACTGTGCGGCTAAAAAATATCAGTAGAAAAAATATCATTTATCTATTTCTTTTCAAATGACACAAAAATTAGCAAACTTTTATATATGATGCATACAGTATATAAACTGTTTTAAAGAATTATCATTTACTCTATAAATATTTCTCATAGAGTTCAGTCAAGTTATAACACATATCATAGAGTTCAGTCAAGTTATATACAGTATTATACTATTATTTAAAAGTAGTCCATTCCACAACTGATAATACTATAATAATGTGTAACCTTAAATCACAAACAGCCGCATGCAATGCATATTCAAAATCACATGTAAGCATAGAGACCTCGAGTAATGTAAAAGTACCTCAACTCAAACTACCTTCGCTAATCGCTTATTAAATATGATTATCGATCAGATATATGTCTAAATACAGATAATTAATAATTCCATATGAGATGATTGAATTTTTCACGGGACAAACAGACTTGAAGTTTGTGATTAAGCTAAATTGGTCGGAGACATGGACCCCGCAGTTAGCATCTAAAGAAAATCTAAGAAGAGGGGACAACCAAATCTACTTAAGTCTTATGAAACTGAAAACTCAAACTAATAAACAAGATTTGAAGAAGTTCCATTTTGTTCTATGTAGTAGAAAACGGTGTCTTGTCCCTTATAAGGTGCAACGTATTCTTCCTCTTGTGGAGCCCTTGTACATTGCCACGTGTAGGGTTCTCCGGCGTCGATTGCTCCTTGCTTCCTTATGAGGTGAATGTTCTCGACATGATATTGATACGTGTTCATTATCTATTTCTGTATTAATTCACATGATAGTGATGATCATTGCATACACAAGAAACAAATTTATTGTGTTTCGAGCGAATCTTGTATTATGATTCTTCCACAGAATGTTTTGAGATTGATCCATTGCACTTGCTGAGTTTGTTTTATGTCCCAAGTCACCATTACTTCGAAAGCATCTCAGGACATATAAACTCGCGTTATCATCCGGAATAAAAATACTATAACATAAGTTCATCTCAACTATATAAATATTGTCATTTAATTTAGATCTTAATTGTTTGCGTGAGAGGATAATTATCCGTTAAAGACCTAGTTGATTGTATTTGTTTTTCTCTGATTTGCACCACTGCGCATCAAATTGTATGAATAGTGAATAAATACGATTAGCCCATTGGAACCACTGATGAAAGCCTAAAAAGTGGAGACAAACAAGTGGCGAATATGTAATATCAGGGCATATTTACATTGTCGAGATCGTTGTATTGTCTTTTCTGGTAACTAAATCAGTTGATTTTTATGGTTAGTCTATCAACAGAGACTTGAGAACCCAAAAGATGATGTGAACAATAGATCTTGAAATCCTCCACTATTCTCTTTCTTGATACTTTTCCTTTTATATGAGAATTGCGGAGGGAAGTAGGTCAAATATTCATTTGAGTGGTTATCATCTCTGCCTAGACTTTAGACCAACACTTTTCAGTCCAGCTACTTCCCAAGTCAACAATTTCAGACCATAGCTCTCTCTTTCTCTCCTCTTTTTATTTTGAAAAAGATAATACATACGTTCACAAAAAAAAAAAAGAGAAACAAAGATATCTTCTTAAAAATCACATTTAAGCATGTATTGACATTTGACACTAACTAAAATTATTGAAATGTTTCTCAAGTTAACATGGTCCATAGATGATGCAATTTCCTTGTAACTTGAACGATTGATAAGCTAAACTATAATTAAAGTAACGAGGCGAAGAAAATAAATAAAACAAATGTGAGTGGAGGAGGAAGAGGACACGAAGGTCGGAGCTTGTAACGAACGCCAAATTGAAGTGGAGAAATTGCAGAAATTTATGAAACGCGTAAAGATATTTGTTTAATGATGTGTTTCACCACAACAAGCATCTCTCTCTCACACACACACACAATGACGCAACTTAGCATAAATGAATGTCATAACTCGTTACTCTTGTTGAAATTTCAAATCCACATTTATTATTCACCTAAATTGTTACGTATAAAATAAGTTGAAAGTTCAAAACTATACCATAAATTAATCAAAAATTATGACAATGTAAAATTGACCAAGATCGAGTCGGTCTTTTGGCTTTGACTGGTTCCGTTGTTCATTTACGTGTAACAAAGCAAATGGCATGTCTCGTGGCTCTACCCACTTTCCCGCGAGCCTTCTTACGCTTTTCTCTCGAGCATGTGCTTCGAAGACCACGTGGTCTCTGTTAAAGCTCATTCTATAGTGTGTGGTTTTTTAGATAACTAACTTTAAAATAATTATATACAAGTTAAATTTGTTAAAACCAAGCAGAAATTGTTTGAACAATGTATATGTACGTTAACTATGTGTAAAGTTTTAAATGTGCGGTAATGTTGTGATATCCACTCAATCGGCCTGACTAAGTTTAAAAATGTAAATGTTGCCTATTTAGTTTACTGTTAATCTAAAATATATCTTTAAGTCAAGTAAATTTTTGTTACAAACTCAGTTAATTTTTCTTGTTTAGATCGAGTATCTTAAAATTAAAAAGGTTTGGCAACTAGACACATTGTCAAACCTAGTAAATTATTGTCGTCTCCTGTTCTCTGTTTTTTATACACGTTAATTTGGTAAATATTTTCTACTGTCTTGTTTATGTTTGAAGAAAATTAAAACTATGATTGTTGGACTTTAAAAGGTTTGTGTTCGAACTTTGTTAGGTCATAGGTGACTCTGGTCGGTCGGTTGTTGTGGTGGGATCCGAAATTCTCACTTGCAAGATGTTTCTAATATCCTTAAACAATACTAGTAATTTAAATAATGGGTTTTCTGTAAATTTACCCTCGATTATAGAAAAATGCATATCAACCCATCAAATTCGAATTAACCCTCAATATAACCCGTATCTAAACATAAAAAGTTAATTTTTTTTTTTAATTCATAGGCAAGTTTATTACATGTATTCAAACTAGTTTTTTTGGTATCCACATATCAAGTTTATTAAAAATATTATGTTTGAGTTAATTTATTATATATATAATTACAAAATTAAAGTGAATACATGATTCGTTAATTTAAACAAGTGTTTTATCTACATTGGATATTGGATTTTTTTTTTTCTATTTCTTAAATAAAGGAGTTAGAGATTCTCTTCAATTCAAAAAAGAAGATGGAAAAAACCCTAGTTCGGTTCTATCTTAGTTGTTCGACCACACTAGAATTTTTGGTCTCCAACTCAAAGCCTAACACGTGGATATGAAAACCAATAAGATTTTCAATTTCCTTTGCTATTTCTAAACGATGTTTTTTAAATTATTTTTATTAAATACGCGGATTATATTGCGGGTTAATTTGAACTTGATGGGTTGATATACATTTTCCTAGAATCGAGGGTAAATTTGCAAACAAAAACCACTTGAAGAGTTAATTTGCAGAAAACCCTTAAATAATATATGTCACTCGTTTTTGTTCGTTTGTTAAATCATGTAATCAATCCAAAAACATATCCTATTTTCTAGTCAAGAAAGGAATGCATTCTCTAACGTAACACAGTTTAACAAACAACAAAGTATTCAGTTGACTATTAAGTCTATTTCAATTGTTATATATATCGTTCACATAGGAAACCATATAACATATGTTAAAACATTCTTCGTGCTTCCCATTACCCAATTTCTTTGCCGCCCAAAATCTGAAACTTTCAAATTAAATAGAACAAAAATATGGATATTTATTATTCATAGGGGCTTTAGGATTTATGTATTCTCATATTTATGTTGTGACCTAAATCTTCTAAATCTTTCAAATTCATGTGTTTAAAACTTTCTTGAGGATTTAGGTCATAGAATAAATATGATTAAAATTAGAAGATTAGATTATGTGAACAATAAAGAGAAAGTTAGATAAGAACAATCTAATCTTATACATTTAGGATAATGAATTAGCACTTTCATATATATTCTCTCTGTCCCATATTATAAGTTGTTTTGGCATAATGTATCTGCAATTTTCTGGATGTATTTGGATGTGTGTTTCCATCCAGATACATCAAAAAAACTGCAGATACATTATGCCAAAACAGCTTATAATATAGGAGAGAGAGAGTATTTTCTTGGAAAGTGAAAACAGCAGAAATAAAAGAAGATAAAATGAGAAAAGAATGGACTAGTGACTCTCAGGTCACTTCCAAAATGCGCAAGTGAGGAGAAACTTTCCATTGATTTAAAAATCTTTCACTTTTTATTTTTGTATTAATAATTTCGCTAAAATAAGAAACCTCTTTACAATTTAGCATATTTATATTTATTAGGGATGGACAAATTATTCGAGAGGTTTTAGTTTGATATTTTAAAACTATGTATACTATTCATCCGATATCATTCTTAAAAAAATTTGATTAGAACATTTACACGAGTATTTTTGCAAGTTTTTGAATATTTAGAACACGTGTAAGTGTAAGCGTGTAACTATTAAAGAATCTGAGATACACAATTTATTTCCATACAAATCTAAAACGTCTCATAACTTTTCCTAATTAGTATTTCTCCGTTTTATAATAAGTATTGTTAAGTATTGTTTTGACTCTTGATTTACCCAATGTATCAAGATATATATGAATGTATTAAGATTTAAAACACATTCAGATACATTAATAAATAATCCAGATTCATTTTATCAAAACGACACTTATTATGAAATGGAGGGAGTAATTTTTTTTGTATATCCCATAGTAAAAATAAGTGAAATGGTCAGTGGAAAGTACAAAACGTATTTTTCAGCTTCCGGTCTATATACCTTCATTTTCTTATACCTGATTATAGCATAATCAAAGGCTCAGATCAACAAATTTGTTTTGTTTGTTACTATGAGAAATTTAAGATATTGAGTGAGCTGTGTGACAAACGAAGACGACAGAGATATGTAATAAATATATATTTTTTACTACTATTTTTTTCCAAATTTTTAGGTGTCAGGAGTCGCATAATGATCCATCACTATACAAAAGCCAAAACAAGACCCTTCACTAATCTGAGGCTCTGCTGATTCTGCAACAAGATTTCTCTGTTTTGTCATCATCATTGTCATTATAAACTAATTTTATATATATATAAAAAAAAAAAAAAAAAAAACTAAAAATTGTGCAATCTAATTTTATTTTTCCCCTAGAAAAATAAAAACTAATCGCAAATCTTCTCCCTCAGTTCCTTGATTGAAGTCAAGCTATCGATTGATTTCTCCGACATTGAATCGCTTCCAATCCTTGAAAACAAATACGAATCTACAAACAAAAATCATAACTTTTCATTAGAATTTTTAATAATTTACCTCAAAGCATAAATAAAATCATCTAAAAACATAAATTCTATTCACCTTCAGACGACGAAGTACTGAGTTTCTCTTGTGAGGAAGATTCACTCGTAGAACGTGATAACAGAGAAGATTCTGAAAATTTAAAGAGAAACCCATTAAGATTCACCAAAAACCCAAATTTAATCAAACAAACTCTGAATAAACAATCTGTTCTTGTGTACCTCTTGAGCCGTGAAACGATTTCTTGCAGTGAAGAATCGCGCTTTGAATCCCATCTTGTTGAACCTGTAGAGAATCATCGACTCTGTTCGCCGGAGACATTCCTCCGACAGCCGCGGAAGCAGACCGGCTCTTCCCAAGCTGTCGTCGAATCCCCGCCGGAATACTACTCCTCTGTTTCTCTCTACTCGCCGGTGAAGACGCCGGAGATGTCGAAACACCACCGTTGATGCTCTGTTTCTTGGTTGTTTTAGTGTACAGAGGCTTTATGAGACTGAAGAATCTCTTGGAGGAAGAGGAAGATGAAACAGGGGAAGAAGAGTCCTCGAACACCATGTCGTCTTTCACTTGTGACCTAGCAGTGGTCGCCGTTTTTCTGAAACTTGTTGTCTCTTCGTCTTCGATTCTAAACCTTAAGTTTAGGCTTCTGTTGTTGTTGTCGACACTTTCTTTCTTCTGAGTCGTCGTTGACTTTTCCGATTCGGCGGGTTTTGACTTCTTGAACGAGAAAGCACGGAACTTTTGACCGGATTTTAGGAGAGTGATCGGAGATTGAGGTTTCGAAGTAATTTCGACGAAAGGGAGGACTTTGCTTTTAGAGACAGAGAACGTCGTCGTTTCGAGTCTCTGTTTTTCTTCAGAGGTTTTTTTCTCGTGAAGAGAGAAATCGGAGAGAGAGATTTCGAGCTCGAAGAAAGAATCATCTCCTTCGCAAAGCTCAGCGTCTGGATCTCCCAATGCGGTGGAAGCTCCGACGGCGGTTTCTGAGATTCTGATTTCACGGCGGGGTTTGCCGTTGGTGTGGTTTACCCAGAATTTCATAAAGCTTAGTGCTTCCATTTAGAGAGTTAGAGAGAGACTAAAGAGAGAGAGAGTAAAGAGGTTGGCTTTGTCAACGGAAATGGAGAAGTGAGGACTTTTATATATAAAAGGAAGAAGAAAGAGATGAGAAGGTGAGCTTTTCGAAATGGGTTTTTATCTTTTTATTTAATTTTTGTAAAGGAAGATAAAAGAGAAATGAAAATTGCATTTGAGAAGGTAAAGAAATTTTGTTCATTTTTTTTTGTGAGTTTTCTCTCTACTTTTTTTTTTAATTATTAGCTGCTCTCCTTTCCTTTTTTCTTTTGTTGTTCTTTTTTTCTTTAACTTTTCCTTTATGCACAGGTTAAACATTTGTTCTATCTATTGTCTTCATTTATTTATCATTATCTGCCATAACATATATATTGATATTGTATACTAGTAGCTACTCTTTAAGCTAAAGTGCTTTATGTTTTTGTAAAATAACAATTTTACATCTGGAAAAATGAATCAAATATGATGCTGTTGATGAGCGTAGAATGTTGAAAAAAAAAAAACTGGTTAACAAAAATAATGTGGACAAAGGTACATCCAAAAAAAGAAAAAAGAAAAGTGAATTTAGTGGTGGTCATTAGGTTGGAGCATATTGTATTTTGTGTTTCAGATTTTAAAGGTTTTATCATGGTTAAAAAAATTGCGGCTTGGATTAATGCAAATGGAGTAAATTAAATTTAAATAAGCTGTAGTTTTAGATAGTGAAATTGTATCTTTGGCATATAAATAGTTTTAAAAAAGTACTTATTAGATATTTTTTTCTACGAATTTTTATTCAATCAGTTTGATTTGGTTGCGACAAACTTTGGTTCGATGCTGTTTTTTTTCGGAATTAGATTATATTTAACATTCGGTTCAATTCCAATGTGAGAAATTTTGGTTGTATTCTCCTATCTATTGGATCAGTTTCAGACTAAGGTAAAGTCGAAAAAATGTTTAAAACTTAAAAGTGTTTTTCATTCAAAGACGGCCTAAACACCAAGAAAAATCTAAAGACCGATCAAGACACTATAAGAAGAAGGAAGGGAGTCAAGCATGGAAGAACAAAAACTCTCTTAGACCTTTCGGGTAACCGGAAGCGAAAGCTAAAAGACCAAACATGATCCTCCGCACCGTTAAAACATGGTACCGAGTCCTCTCGAACCTGAAGAAACTCTTTGTTGTCGGGATATTGAAGCATGCATACTCTGTGCTCGACATCCCAGTCCTTACCACAGTGTTTTGTATCTTGAAACCACGCATGATCCACAAACTCTCGGCCAAATCCCTTCTTAAAAAAAAATTATGCACGTCCCAATTTCTAATACATTATCCCGACAATATAATATATTTAAAAGACACCCAACGATACTTCACACTAAAATTTCAACCTCCAAATCGGATTGATCATTGTTATCATTGGAAGATGTAGCCTATGTTGTTGTTATTCCAAGGACAATTACGAAGATGGGCGATAAGTAATTATCTTATATAAAAAAAAAGAACAAACGTACAAATTTCTCCTATACTATTAATAGAAATGTTTAGACTATAAAAAGATTAAAATTAAGACAGAGTATGATATCTATATGCTTATAGGTATGTTGATTTTTGAAATATTTATATTTGTGTCTCGGCATGAAACGGATAACCTGTTGTATTATTATGAACTAGGCCTGGGCAAATTATCCGTTATATTTGCTTCGATCCGTTATCCATTTCGATTCGATCCGAAAAATCCGGATAACCGTAATTTTACAAAGCAAAGCAAATACTAAAAATTAATATCCGTTAAAACCGGAGCAAATCACAAATACTGAAATTTTAAAAGCCGGATATCCGATCCGCTCCGTTATACATATAGGGTCTAAATGGTAACCGAGGAATGTTGCTGAATGCGGAATCTGGCTGAATAAAATGAAGTTTTTTTGTAGAATCTGGCTGAATAGTTTGTAATGTGAATGGTAACTGTTGAATGTTGCTGAATGCGGAATAAAAAAAAAGTAAACTAAAACTAAAATATTTGTTTCAGATTTTTGTTCAACAATATTTTTAAACTTGTAAATTCAAATAAAAATGGTGGTATCAAACTGAATATATATATATATATATATATATATATATACCTTTTAAATCTAAACAAAATTTCTCTTAACAAAACAACAAAATTTTATTATAATTAAATTGTTATACTCAGAAATAAAAATTGTTGTTTAATTAAACAAGTCTAGTAATACTAATCATATGAAATAATGAAAATATACAAATTGTTCCTATGAAATTTTTAAGGTTTTTCAAATTATATTTAAAATATTAAATGGAAACTATTTCTAATTTTGAAAATTATGTACAGTTATCCAAAAAATAATAATACGAATTTGAGTCATATTCTTTCAAAAAGTAAGATATTCATCCTAATTACATGTATTTTACATGCTATCTATATTGAATTACTTTAAAAAAGTATTTTGAATGTAAATTGTTTTTTATCATATTAGTATTCATATATATTGTACTATAAGTCTATAACATAGTAATCAAAAATATCCCTCTATGTATAGTTTAAATGGTAATATTATTATATGTAAGTGGATTTTCATTTCTAAAATTAACATACAGTAAATTAAATAGTAATGAAAATAGATGTAATGTCACAAAATTAAAGAAACAAAAATAAACCAATTCTGCAATTTTTGTCTTTTAGTGGCTTTTCTGTTTTTCCAGCTGAATTAACTTTAAGCTCAACTGGTAACAAAGAAAAAATATTCAGCTGGATTCTTCAGCATTCTGCAATTATGCTTACACCAGTTAGGGCCATAGATATATCTATATATATAAAATTACATATATAAATTGGATGATTGTTATGTTTATATCTAAATTTTATAAATCTATATTCATTAAATTGATTATTTAAACACTAAAAAAAATTAAAACAAAATAACTACTAATAGTTTTTTAATTAAAATTATATTTTTGTGTTAAAAATTGATTTTTCTGAAATTTTTTAAATACAAATATTTTTTAAAATATTTACGGAGTGAATAATTCATGGATATTAAACAGAGTTACGGATATCCGGATCAAACGGATTGGAGCGGATAATCCGCGGATATTAAACAAAGTTACGAATATCCGGATTTTCGGATATCCGAAAATTTTCGGATCGGATCGGATCAGAAAATCAAATATCCGGACGGATCAGATCGGATCACGGATACCTGTTTTTTGCCTAGTATTTGCTCCGTGCCCAGGGCTATTATGAACCCTGTGACGGCTTACATTTTTATATGTTTTCATGTATTGTATGACTCTTACCAACAATTATGATCAAATCATAACAACATGATTTGGCTATAGCTGTTTTAGAGTATCGAAAGATCCCCGCGAAATTATCTAAGAAAGCAGAAACAAGACTAAATAAATACATCTAGATTGACAGAAGAAAACATTTACAGTTACTCCACCGAAAAAGAAGAAGAGCTTAGCTCTCTGGCGTTCTGACTTATGGTGTTAAAAGATGACTTCGTGTTCTTTCAATGGCAAAAGTATTGTTGGCCCATTACATCTTTCAATTTTCCTTTTGTCTCTACTTTGAAAGAATAAGTTGTTTATTTTTGTATGTGTTTTTATATTATGTATACCGTATACCAAAGGTTGTTAACCTCAAAAGCTTTGACTTGAAAAGCAGTTTCTTTTGTGAATTTCAAAAATTTCGAGCCTCTTTTCACTTTAAAGTTTAAAGAAGAGTTTGCTTTTCTTTTTTTTCTTTCTGTTAAACACTTTGTTTTCTTCCTTTTTTAACTTTAATATAAGTGAGAACCAAGACATTACTTTTAAATAAGTTATTTATTAGCCTAACTCTGTTTTATACTTTTGTAATGTCTTCCAAACATTGTTTTTCTGTACTTCGATTCAATTGGGTCTGGGAGCTTCTATATTTGTTCTGGTATTGTTGTTTCCAATGCAGCAAACGTATGAACCAATAAGCCAAAACAATTCAGCTCCACGTTCCATTAGTTTGCTTTTTGTTACTATAATTAAAGGACCCATTTTTATCTTTCTAGAATTTTGTTAATATTTGGTTTTGGTGACAAAACAGAATTAACAAGTAAACTTTTCTACGGATAGCATTGAGCTTTACCGACTAAAGTGCTTATGCATATAGCACATACCTAAAAATGACTTATAGAATAATATAAAAGATATATGCGGTGCCTATACATTAATAACTAAATCCACGCAATTGTCATGGAATGTGTGTATGCATCAACACATATAATATTATTGTTTATTAGGAGTTGAGCGAAATGATGTTTTGGCTTACAAAAAGGTGATCATGAAAATGAAGTAACAACATAAAGAATGGTTGAGGATAAATGTCATTTTTTTTTATTATCTCTTTCGAAAACTCATCGTCTCTTAATCAATATTTTGATTAAAAAAAAAAATAGTTTCTCTCTATAAACTAAAATAGCAGTTTTCTCTCTTGCATTTGGTGTTTTAGTATACAAAATTTTTACCTGTTATTTTACACCCCATTAATGCCTAAATCTAAAGAAAGACTCAATTAGGACTCCAGGCCCAATAAGGGAACACATTAACACAAGCTTTAGAGCTCAAAAACCCATAGTCCAGTATCAGCTTCATCGTCTGTTTCAGTTTCACTGTCATCAGACGAACTCACTACCCCAAGTACATAGTTAACAACCTGTAAACATACAAAACAATCACCAAAACCAGATCGATAAACTTGCTCCATATAACCGCGAGAAACATTTTCTTGAAAGAGGAAAAAAAAGCTAACCTGGTGGCTTGACATGAGGACGAGTGGCATGTTGCCTGATTTCAACCGACATTGTTCGCTCGAACATCTCAAGTTGTGGTGCCAAACCATGGAGTCACAGTAACTGCAGTAACCCCGACCAGATCTTAACATTTTTGATGAATAAATCGCTGCACGGTTAAGCAAACTAGTTCAGAATTTAGCAATAGAGATAAAGAGAGAAGAAGAAGATAACAAAAGCCCTTACCAAGATATTCTTTCTTAAAGGCCTCTCTCGAGTCAATACCAGACTGAAGACGAGCCAAGAACTTGTGTTTGAAGTGAAGGTCAAATTGTGATCGCCACAGAGAATCATCATACGTTGCTTGGTTCCATGAGCTGCAAACAAACAACTCGGATAAGGAAAAGGAAAACAAAAAAAGACTCTGAAAATGTAGAAACATAGAGATGAGGAAAGGAAGTAAAGTAGTACCGAGATACTTGAGATGAGGAAAGTAAAGACGAAACATCGAGGAAACTGAAGATGTGAATAAGGATATCATGTGGAAGTGAAGGCAAATCTGGATGGTGAAGGATTGATTATATCTTCAGAGTCTTATTAAAAGAAGACATTTTTTCAGGAAAGATATAACTTAGAAAACATACCTGTATCTTCTTCCTCATGGCTCTTACTCCGTCTCTTCAGTGCTACTTTTGCCTTCTTGAATTCGACAATGGCTAAGTTCTTCTTCTGTTTAGGTATCTTGGCTTCTGCGCTCTTCAGGAGAAGGTTAGCTGCTGAAACAGCCGCTGCTGTGTTCATCCTAAAAAAGAAAAAAAAAACTTTTTAATTGGTACCACTCTTTATAGACTTTATTGCAAGAAGAAACAGAGAGATAACATTTGGAGCTTATATAATCTATTGGCATGAAATGAAGCCATTCAAAGAACCAATCCCCAAGTAGACTTAAGCCTCTGCTTTGTGCTTACGAAAGTTCCAAACTTTGGTTCATCAACAGGGACAGGAACCATTAGCAAAGTTGTTAAAAGGTTTGAATTAACATTCAAGAAAGACACAACATTCTACAATTTCTGTTCTTGATTGCAAATTGTATATTCAAACAGAAAGAATCAAAGCTAATTGATTCAAACAAAATTCAGTCACCGATTAGACTCAATCCTCTGCTTCATGGTTGGCTTAAAGTTCTCAACTTTGCAGCAACCATGAGATTTTACCAACCCTAGAAATTCAGCTACAGCAAACTTTCAACCAAGTAACAATTACATCAAATAAACCCAAGAAGATATCGAGTAGAGCATCGTAGAACCCTAAATACCCAGAATTGCAATGAATTTCATAGAGAACTATCGCAATTGAAATTCGAATTTCGAACACTGTAAGAGAAAAAACTTACTCGGGAAGAAGACGAAAAGCGGAGAGAGTATCTTGGAAGATGACAGCTTTGAGATCTTTGGGCAATCGAGAGTAGCCAAGATTTAAAATCGAGCTCAATTCATTGCAAGCAAATGGATAAAGATGATTATTCGACAGAGCTTCTCCAATCATTAGATTCTGGTATCTCTTCATTTTTCTTCTTCTTTCTGTCTGGGATCAGACAATCATCATCCAAGGTTTCAACAATGGTCGTTTCCTTTTAATAGTCTTTCTTTTGTTCTGTCTGGGTTTCGGTTTGTTTCTGGTTTATATTTTGTTCTCTACCAAATTGAATACGGTATAGTATTTAAACCGGTTTGATCCGGTTTTGGTTTCGGATTGTGTAAGTTTTAAGCAAGATTAAATTATCCTCTTTTATACTCAAAACTGTGGTTTTTTTTCGGATCTGTAAGTTTAGATCACTTTCTTTTAGGTCTATCTTTCTTCTTTGGTTTCTTTTTTAACTTATAAACTGTGATTTTTTTTTCTTTCAATGTTCATATTTATGTCATTGTGAATGTCTAGTTTAATGTCTGTAGTAAACAAATTTCTTATATAAACTAATTACTTACATTTTGATCACGTACTTTGCGCTGGAATATTTCCACCTAAGACGATCAAAAGAATTGATTTCCTAATTCGTTTCCCAGTTTCTTATAGACTTTTTTTGTTCATCTCCAATGTCTAAAAAGAAACAACAAATGGATAGTGATTGGCAAATTAGCTCTAAAGGTTTAAGGGATTTTTAAAATTTTCTAAAGTCTTAAAAGCCATATGTTATCCAATCACACTTTTGATTTTCAAATTGTAGATTCTAGATCTTACTAACCAATAACTTCGTTAAGTTTCTTGATGAGATCTTCTAGAGCTTAACCTTATACTCCAATCAAACTACTCCAATCAGACCACTTAAGTTTCTTAGCCTTATGTGGTCAATTAGATTGGGATAGACGATAATGTCAACAACTTGTTTGATTGAATCCCATATATTTAAATTGACTAAACTCTTTGGAATAAACAAGTTTAAATGCTTTCGAATTATTGCTAAAAAAAAAGCTTTCAAAGTGTAGATTCTAAATCTTATTAACCAATAACTTTGTTAAGTTTTTTGATGATCTTCTACAAATTTAACCTAAAACTCCAAACAAACCAGTTAAGCTTCTTAGCCTTATGTGGTCATTTGGATTGGGATAGACAATAATATCACATAAACAACTAGTTCCTTTGAACTCAAATGCTTTGGTAGTGCTATTTTTGTGCATGTTCAATCTAATGCAACACTCATCCATATTGATCTACAAAACTTACGTTAAAATGAAGATTGTCGAAATATTGAAATACATAATAATAAACTGCATCTTGAAATAATTAACTAAAAGTAATGGTAAGATGTAACAATGATGACATGATCATGTTTAAAAGCAATTAACAACCACTACTTTTAAGAGCTGTGTATTGTATATCAAAACTGGAAAGTATCCAATTCTAAAAATAAGCATGATTGAAACTTTTTTATAAAAAAAGCATAATGGAAACTTCTTTATAAAAAAAAGCATGATTGAAACTCACATTAGACGAAATGGGTTTATTCGTCAAAGAACGAGAAGAGAAATATGTTTTTTCCCCCTAATTTTTCAATAACCAAAACAAATCAACGTGGAGGTGAGACGCCACGTCTTTGACTTGTGGGAAATGGGAAATCTCCTAGTTTAACTTCTAAGTAAGACCAAACTTTTTCTGAATTATTGAGTTTCTAGTTTCTAAATCTTAACATCTAGAAGAAAAGATCAAGCATGCAAGTATTTATATAAGAAATTTGTTTACTACAGACATTAAACTACACATTCACAATGACATAAATATGAACATTGAACGAAAAAAAAATCATAGTTTATAAGCTAAAAAAGAAACCAAAGAAGAAAGATAGACCTAAAAGAAAGTTATCTAATAATGGAAAAGCCTAACAAGTAATACAAGACTCTCTTTGTTTTTTGAATTGCCAAAGACCAAACCGGATCTGTTTTGATAACTTGTACACCAAGAAATATACATCCACACTTTTTGTTGGGTTTCTGCATAATTTTCAGAGGAAGTAAGTAAGCTGTTCCTTTTTCCTTGAACCTCCTTCTCCATAAAAATCATTCCATTGCTTCAGCTCATTCATTCCTGATCCTTCTGATGCAAAACTCGCAGCTACCTGTAGAAACACAACACATCTTTCTTAGTTAGGGTTTCTTCTTTTGTTTTTTCTTGTCAAAATAGGACAAGATGTTAGACCTGGTTTTTAGCTTTTCTCATGTCTTCCATGTTCAAAGGTCTCAAAGTAATGTCTCTCTCTACAGAAGCTTCTCCTTCTTCTCCTTCTTTTCCTTCTTTTGGTTCTTCCGTGCTTTTTCCTGCTTCTTCTCTCTTTTTCCTCTCCTAAAATACACCAAGAAATTTTCAAAATCCGTAGAGAATTTGATCAAGAAAGGATCTTTCAAAAGTCTTTCTTACCTGATCTTTCAATCTTTCCTGCTGAATCAGCTCTCTAACGGGTCTATAGGCAGCAGTTATGCATAAATTCTGTTTGTACAAAATGTTTAACAAACAGTTAATTCACCAAAATTCCGATGGTTTTGAAGAAATTTTAAAAGAGTTCTGTCTTTCTGACAAACCTTGAGATCACTTCCACTGTAGCCTTCTGTCATCTGTCCAAGCTCATGAAAATCAAGGTCATCTGTTTTCTCTTTCGACAACAAAGTCCTCAAGATCTTCTCTCTGCTCTCAATCGAAGGAAGTCCCACCATGATTCTGTTTTTTCCAACACAAATCAATCAGTCACAATACATAGCATAATCCATAATTTAGAGCATTTTCATTATACCAAAATTGCTTAGTACCTTCTCTCAAACCTCCTAATGATAGCTTCATCAAGATCAAAGGGTCTGTTTGTCGCTGCAAGAACCAGAATCCTCTCACCAGGTTTCGTCATAAGCCCATCCCAATGCGTCATAAACTCATTCTTGATCTTCCTCATAGCTTCATGCTCTCCAACTCTCGTTCTTTGCCCCAACATGCTATCAACTTCATCCACAAAGATAATCGTTGGAGACACTTTAGCTGCCAAAGTAAACAAAGCCCTCACGTTCTTCTCGTCCTCTCCAAACCATTTGGAAGTGATTGTAGACATTGACACATTGATGAAGCTAGCTCCAGCTTCATTTGCTATTGCTTTTGCAAGCATTGTTTTGCCAGTACCTGGTGGACCAAACAGAAGGATGCCTCTACACGGCTTGAGAAGACCTCCTTTGAAAAGATCAGGTCTTCTAAGAGGAAGCATCACAAGCTCTTGAAGAGAGTCTTTTGTCTCGTCTAGAGAACCAATATCTGCAAATGTCACACCAATCTCGTTTGCTGGTATGACTTCTGGTCTTATACGCTTCTCAAACTCATTGTCTGGAACAACCTCGGGAGCTTTCGGAGGCAATGGATTGTCATTCTTGTTTGAAGGAAGAGATTTCTCTGACTCGTTCTTGTTTTCAGGAGAAGATGTTTCGGTTTTGGACTCGCTCTTTGAACATACTCCTCCTCCTTTGCGCTTAGAGTCAGTGTTTGTTGTGTCTAGCTTCATTGAGTCTTCAAGTGATCTGTTTCCACCTTCTTGGAATATACTCAGTCCATGAGACAAGCTGTTGCAGAGGAGGACCAAGAATCAATGCAAGAACCAAGAAGATATTGAAAAAACAGAGTTTGAGTCACGTACCTTTTGGAAGATATTACAAGCTTTCCGTTTCTGTATTTAGGTTCTTTGTTGTGCATCAAATGGTAAGAGATTGCAGAGACCACAATCTCGTCAATGTGGTTGCTCAAACACATTGTGTCTGCGTGGCATATCGAAGCCAAGTCGTCGCATTGGAGATCATTAGCAGCAAGAACCTCTGCGATGTGGTTCTTGTTGTCTTGAAACTGAATCCTCTTCATGTCATCTTCTAACCGATTTTTCCAGCTCACGAGCTGAGATTCATCCTCCGGCGGTCTGATCTCGATGTTGTAAGGAAACAGAGCGGAAACCGATTCGGTTACTTCTTGGCAATCATCTTCTGGCTCCAAGACTCTTGATCCAAGAATCAGGACAGGACCAGAGATCTTGTTCAAGAGCCTTTGGAACAACTTGTAGAATCTTTCTGACTCAAGAAGCTTCTCAACGTCCCTGAGATATATAATTAGCGGGTTTGTTTCAGATACAGAAACCAAGACCTGCAGAGAAAGAAGACAAGAAATGTGAATAATCCACTGAAACAATCAAGAAAACTTGTGAAACAAGGAATCTTTTTTTACCTTGTAAAGTGATTGCAAGAAGAGTTTCTCGTCGAAACAGAGATTTGTGCTGCGTTTGCTGGAAGCTAGAAGCCATATAAACGCATAGATGAAGCAAAGAGACGTAAGATTAGGAAGTTTGAGTACAATATATTTTAGAAAGATGTAACAATAATCAGTTTCCAAACCTAAAACAGAAGAGCGGGAAGATATGCTAGTGATATCAGAAGCAGCAGAAGCATTTCTCTTGTGTCTTGGAGGACGATTTGAGCTATCAAAACTCCTGAATTTAAAGAAGCTAGTGAGCTTACAATGTCAAAAAACAGATGAAACTAAATGCAAAGGAAACAGAGACAAAACCTTGAGTTAAGATCATTTCCACTGGTGTGTCGACGCAATGTCCCTAAAATTTACAAGAAGTCTTGACTATTTAGCTCATATCTTAAGTAAAAACCAAAACATAGTTTTTTGTGGTTTTCTTACCTCTTGGTTCAACTTCACGTTGAGAGAGCATAGAGAAGGAGCCCATTAGACTCGACACTTTGTCTAATGTTAACTCAGAAATAGATCTCTTATGAAACTATAAACCAATGAAGAGAAGGAAGAAAAAAACAGAGTCATTGCTCTGTTATCATCAGCATAACAAAGCATATATAGGAGTGGTACAAGTAACTTACAGGTTCTCTCTTGGTGCATCCATATTTACTTTGTATCTGTTTCCAAATTACAGAATAGACAAAAAAAACTTAGGAGCTGTTCTGTCTCACAATACTAAAAAAATGCTATGTGCATTAAGTGATTGATATACCTTAATAGAAAAATCAGTAATATCTAAGAGCAATAGCTTTGATTCA